TTTATCCCACTATGTGGGATCGGCAACATGAATCTTTTTTCTCCATTGTGTCATGTTAAGGGTCAAATTCTCATCTAAATCTAATAAAGAAGGGTCATTTCCAATATTTTCTAACCAAGTCTTTTTAAGTCTACCTCTACCTTTCGTAATATAAATACAATCTAATAAATTTGTTCTCCTAAAAGGGTCATCGGAGGGCCGTCGTTTTATGTGACCAAACCATCTAAGGTGACTTTCTCTAATCTTACCTTCCACTAGAGCTATTCCAACCTTTTCATGTATATGATTATTTCGTATACTATCTTTAATAGTAAATCTTTTGTATTAATTCTTCTAGTTCATTCCCAAATTTTAATTTTGAAAACATATCCAAACCTATTTGAGGAGCACAAGCGCTTGCAATATTAATAACCTTAACATCAACAACAATCTTTAAAGCTATAATTATATCTTCAATTTTATTAATTTTTACAATGTTATCCTTCAAACTCTTGTATATAATCACACATACATTATTTCTAGTATGACTACTATCAGAATATAATAGTTTAAATCCTAAACTATCTATCTCCTTAACCTTCTCTCCAACCAATTTAGTTTCCTGAATGCAAAGAATATTTATCTTCCTATAGATCATAACATCTATTAATTTCATTAATTTACCTGTAAGGGAACTTTTATTCTAAGTTCATATCCTAATTTTAGTTTCATGGACTATCTTCTTTGCCCACATCCATCCATGATGTCGAAACCCTTGCATATTTAACATTATACTCAGGCACCGGTGCAACGGCCCTTGCTAACTTGTATATGTATTTAGGTCATGCAACGCGTCGCTTCCAAGAAACGCCCTAGCATTAACACAATCTATTAAAAGATTCATGTCATGATTATTCGACAAGTTTTATGAATGTTATCGACTACCTAATGCAACCCTCCACTTTTTCTCATACAGGACTTGGGACCTAGCAATGATAGTGTTATTAAAGAAAAATTAGAAAAAAAATTAAAATAATTTGGCAATTATATGAGTTATATTTATTTGTTGAGCCAAACATTGATCAAAATCAAATATTACGCCAACGAGACCTGCTTGGCTTGAACAAATGTGAATTTAGACAAACCCAAATCAAAATGAGTGAGCTCTAGATTGGATGAAAATGCATCTGTATGCATACATTAATACATGTATGCTTGTTGTGTATATTAATGCATACGTGTATATACATAAAGTAGTAGATATGCACCTATACAGTATATAGCTGAACATTTATGGATGCACGTGTGTATGCAAGCAGTGGCGGAGCCATAAATTTTTATCTAGGGGGGCACAAATCTATGATTTTTAAAATACCCTCAATTTTTTCATTCGAGCTTGAAAATGGCATTGAGATTTTAATTTTTTTATAATAATTTCTATAAGAATATAAATTTTTACAATATTAAAAAATTTATTATCATGCTCATCCAAATTAATTTCAAAATAATTTTATTTGGACTATATATTGTTATGCTCATGTATACCAACTATTCTTTTATAGTTCATTTTCATATCTAATTTAACTAATAATATAAATAAAAAATATTCCCCAAAGGGGCCCCCCTAAATCCGCCGTTGTATGCAAGATGAATAAGCTGATTTCAATATTACAAATGGATTAAAAAAAAATCAAATTTCACATAGAATAATTAACTAGGTTAGCAAGAATCAAGATCACATTGAGCCATCTTATAGTTATGTCCGGAACGAAGCAAGATCGCATAGAACTGCTCTGCATTGATAATGGGTCAAGATCTTATCATCCACAATCCTACTTTCAAAGACTCACTTATTATCTCATTCCACTTTTGGAGAAACTCTGACCATACATTCAAAAATGCAATAATTTTCCACCGTTAGAATCTTCTTTGTCAAAATGAGAGATCTAGCATGTAAGACTGCGCTGAGGGGGTGATAAAAGAAGATTAATGAGAGAATGAAACCTAATCAATTTATGTTTCTAAAAGTTCCCTCAGTTATCCGATCAAGTATAATTCAATTAAGCTACAGTCAAAACTACATCTAACGTAATCAAACTGCAAAAACACTGTAACAGTTAAAAAATAAACAATCAGATTTAAGCTGACAATTAACTTGCCACGGAAATGAAAAATAAGTTTTAAATTGAATCCCTCGCAAAAATTGGAAACCCCAATATATAACAGTGCATGCTTCAAAATTCTCTTCTATCTTTCAAGTATTTCCCGTCATCCTTATCCACTAAAAAACATGTACTTGAATTATATTTTAAACATTTTTTGTCTGCTCAAGCTTGCTTCAAAACATTTTGATATGGTTCATAATAAAAAAATCTATTATAGGTATTGTTCTACTTTAGAAGGATGTTGGCTCAATGCTTGTTTTAGTGTTAAGAATATAGGAATGGAATAGAGGGGTAACATGAAAATAAACAAAATTTTGTCATGGTGATAATTGTTTTGTCGCAGTCTCTGTAATTTATTTTATGTTAAGTGTAATGGTTATGTTATCCCCTTATTTATCTTTATGTTGACTATCAAAGGAAGGGTAATGTTCTCTTATTAAGACATGTGTCGTTTAATAATTTCTTTAAATCTTTCTGGTAATTATTAATTACCCAAGAAAACTTACCCGCTAGTAGAAACCTAAAGGTTTTGTAACAGAAACATTGAACGAAGATTTCAGGTTGCTATGCCTTTCTCCTAGTTGTGGTTACGCCTCACCTTCGTCAATAATTTCTCTCTTCTCCCTCCCCTCCAGCCTCTCTGGCTTCAATTGGATATCCATCCCCTCTCTTTCCCTCACCTTACTCGTCTTTCATAATCTGCAACTCACCAAGCACCTAGTTTCTTCTCTTTTCCTCTCTCTCTAAAATCCCTTTGTCATTCTATCACATGTGTTGATCCTTAACAATAACTCTATACTCACTCTCTCAATCATGTCTCCTAACTTCCTATCTACAAATCTAATCTCCTACTCCTATTTCCACACAATATAAGTTGTTGCTTGAAGATTGAAATGCATTCTATAAGTGGGATGTATATGGAGGTAAAATTGGTAAATTGGCAAAGAATTCATGCCAAAGGAATTGGGAAGTAAATTGATGTGGGAGGGAATTTTGTTGGGGAGATTGTGTTTTTAGTGAATGATTCAAGGCATTTGTAAGAGAGTTATTAAGTGTAGAGAAAGTAAAGGATATTTAGGTGTTAGGTAAAGGAACATAAATAATCAAATGGAACAACAATAACCATGTCTAGTATTTTCTTCTTGGTTCGTCTCCTTCACACCAGCTTGGATCGTAAATTTGTTATCTCTATGTGCATCACCTTCACAAAAAAAACCCTAATTACCTCAATCACAAGGTTTTAATTTGGGGATCCGTCTTGGCAGACATGATTAAAAGATTATCTTCTTATCTTTTCTCATGTTCTTCACATCTATGTCACCTTCTTCACTCAAATCCTCCTACTCTTTTCTAGCTTGTTGTAGTATGTTCAAGGGACATGAAACAACAAACATGGTGATATACCTCATTTCAATAAACCAAGAAATGTAAGTGTAACAAAAAAAACATATTTTTATATTAATTTTCAATTAAAATGTCATTATAATAAATTTCTGATGTCGCTAATACAACAACAACAACATCAAACCTTTATCCCACTACGTGGGGTCGGCTACATGAATCTTTTTTCTCCATTGTGTCCTATTAAAAGTCAATTTCTAGTTTAAATCTAATAAAGAAAGGTCATTCCTAATATTTTCTAATCATGAAAAATTATAAAAACAACCTATTTTCTCCTAGCCATCAACCTTCTACAATTACCTCAACTATTTGCTGTTTATTTATGGAAACAACCTACACATTTAATCTAGTGTTATATTAGGAGCTATCTTGATTTTGTGTAAGCCTTTTCAGATTTCACACAAAATATACCCATGTTATAATTATTCTACCTCCTAATCTTTAATCCATTCACATTCATTATAAATGGTTTCCTTATTGGTGCTTCCTCCTCCCACAATTAAAATGCCAAAACAATCATTTCCATTGTTTTATTTTCAAAAAGTAATGTCACCACTCTCTCTTTAACACAATTATTTTTAATTCAATGATTTCTAGTTTCACACAATTGCGACTCAAAAAACAACACATGTATAAAGTTAGCTGATTAAAATTAAAATTCAATGTTTGAATTAACAAGGTTTAAAGCACATTGCTAAAAGGTTGTGAAGGATAAAAGTTAAATGTTGATCCTGAGTTCATCTAATGCTCAACTAGTACAAAGTAAGCAAAATAATAAGTAAAAAAACATAAGACCCCAAAAAAATCTGCAAGATATAGGGCAAATGGATGTTAATGTGAATGTAAATGACGTGGGAACACAGTCCAAGCAACAAAGAGTGTGCTAATAGATATATCAAGTGAGATTGAGAAGGATAGAAAAGAGATGCAGACGTGTACAGATACAAATATGAGAAAGGAGGTAACAGAAACATCTCAATAAATAAAAACAGCATCAGAGATTTCAGTTCCACTTAATAATAACCATCTAATAAGTTTTATGGCAAAAACAAATAAAACAAACCAAAAAAATAACCAAGCCATAAACATCTGAAATGTCATGTGAGCATAAACAAACACGCAAGTGTAGATGGCTAAAGAGTTATAGCAAATACACGAGGGCTTAGAGAGCAACTGAGAGATTCTGTGATAGATGGAGAGAAACTAGCAGAGAGATGAAGGAAAAATGGAAAAAAAAAAAAGTAAACAGGAAAAGAGGAGTGGGATAGAGTCAGGATTAGAGAAGATGACTATAAACAAGGGAAATACAGAGATGTAGAAAACGGGAGGCTGGAGCACTGAAAGGGGAGAAAGGCAGTGTGCGAGGATATCAGGGTGACGGCCACAGTAAGGAAGCCTAGGAGAAGATAATTAATGAAGAGGAAAAAGATGATGAAGGAATTGAAAGAATCATACCTTTGTATACGACGATACGAAGGGGCTGTTTGGTTACAGGATTTATGCTGGATTTGAGCAGGATTTATGCTAAATCCAGCCAAACAGGATTTAGGAACCGTTAAATCTCACAGCGAGTTAAATCCACCGTTTCGCACTTTTGCCGTAAATCCCTAGTCTACTAAATCCGGGAGTTCGGCGAATTTACGGGATTTGGCCGAAAAAGCGCGCGAACGGAATAAAGATGGCTACCTTCGCAACGAGCAAGCTCCCGTCGTCGTCGTTACTTCCGATCGAACAGACGAACGGCTAGGAGGTGTGATTTCGGACCCGACAGGAAGAAACGTCGTCAAGTAGGGACTCGTTCAAAACTCTACCTGCCACGCGAAGGAGGCGAAGTCGAAGGCAACGAACAGTGGAGAAGGGGAAAAGCGAACCTAGCAAATGAGACCACAGATGATGAGAGCGGGAGCTGCTAGGGTTTATCAAGAGCCTCCCGTCAAAGCGACCGTCAGAGCTCGAGTTCGTCGGACGAACGAACTTTCCAGAAGAAACCAACAGCTAAAATCGCAAACCTATTATTCAACACCGTAGCCCGATTTGGTCGATTCATCGGGTATTATATCATAAGGGATAAATTATGAGTGAGATAACCTCCTTAAAATTATATATATATATATAAGTTTTTTTTTTTATTTAACCTTGAGATTGGTAAAATAAATAATTATTTATTTTTATATTAATCGTTCTTAAAATGAATTTAAAAATAAATAAATTCATCATAATATATTCACCTCTTTTTTTCAAAAGTATGAACTAAAAAGTGAGTAAAATCTTATTAAATTATCAAAGAATATAATTTTGACTACTAACTTTCATTTTTGCTTTGAGAAAATTTAATCTTAATTATTAGAAGTAAACATTTAGGTTTCGTTTAATTTTTTTATTACAAAATTGATTTAAGAAATAATAAGAAAGTCGTCCCCAAACAAAACCTTAGTGCGCTTGAATTGCCATTTTCATAGAGAGAGCCAAAACCCTCAACTACTACAACATACAACTAGTAGAATGAAAGAAGGGGAAAATAATTAGTTGTGTTCATTTTGGAATAATTTAAGCTATGATATATATATATATAGAGGAAGATATGTAATCAAAATTTTTTTTGATTAAGCATGAATCTTGATGCATATTGAATTGAAAATTCAAGACATTTCAAACTCTGAATTCAGGACAAACTCATTGATACCAAAGGTGATTTAATCAAAGTCCATGAACTAAAGTCAAGTACTCGAAGTATAATTGAAAACTTTGGGTCATTAATTGAAGGATAGATAATCTCCAAATCTCACATGCTTATGATGAAATCGAGCTTCTCAACGAGACAAATCCAATGAGCTCCAAATCATCTAATTCGGACATCATTACTATAGTTAAATGCTAAAAGAATGCTCCATGAGTTGAGAAACCATTGTAGGTTGTCCAATAGAGTGCTATAGATTTTTAGTCTTCACTATATTTATGGGGCAAGCCACTCTCAAATATATCTATAAAAAGGCACTCACTCTAAGAAGTTTGGATCTTAGACTGAGAGCTCAAATATTTGAATAATCTAGGAGCACCACCTGAGGACCTCTACCCAATCTTTGCCACCCAACCACCAATTAACCTTCCATATAAGATCAATCACCATCACTCGATTACCGTCCTCCAACATCCTACTAAGGCCTTCAAACACAATTACCCAACTATGCACTTTTGACTACTATTATTCAACCACAATCCTCTAACAATCATCAATCAACTACAATAATCTAACCATCATCACCCAACTATGATCCTCCACATTTATCACCCAACTATAATTTCTAATTATTATAACTCAACTATGATGTTCTAACCATTATTATTTGGTTAAACCAACACCCACTAAATTCATTAAAGATTATTGTCAACATTGTTAACGCATGTCATTACCTGCAAATTCTTGCATGATATTGATAAAAACTCTAACTTCTTACATCAACAATAGGATTTTTGTTTTACTTAATTTTCTCTTATCTCATATTCTCAAGGAAGAATGACCAAGCAAACAATAAACAATCTCTTGAACACAATTCCCATAGCATACCACTCTTCTAACTTTTACAATGAAACATGTTTAATATGTTGTATGGTTGTTATACTTCATGGACATCTTCCCCAATCACAAGAAAAAACATCATTTGTGAAATGACAAATATTAATGGAATCATTTCATATAGGTCAAGCTCCGTAGTTTTCCATCTTTTGGGTTGTCCACTTAAAACTATTAGTATTTCTTACGACTCATATTTTATATGTTCATAGCAAAATTTCGTAAAATGCAATATATTAATATATATCTCTTCCATAGAGAACGTTCTAACATGTCGTAGTAATAAAAGGACAGGGGTTTGGACCTAAATTTAACCTTCAAATTGATTTGTTTAAAATATAATTATATATATATATTTCAAGTCAATGAGATATGTGAGAGATTCCAGCTTGAATATGGATCAAGATCACTCAATTTTGATCTCATTAAAGTAGTTAAATATTTAAAGAATGATCTTTTATTGAGAAAATTAGTATGGGTGGTATGATGTTGTGTTCTATGATTTTTTGTCAAATTTGCTAAACTATCACTTTAAAAAATAAAAAAAATCATCATTTTCCACATGAATGAGATATTAACTTTATATTGTAAAGAGATTGAATGCCTGAATAACTATAAAAATTAATCTGATGTTCGACGCCAACAACCACTGGTAGTCGTCACTATTGTTCGACTTCTTTTATCTAACCACCGTAACCTCACCTATTCATCAAAGTCCAATCATTGTCACTTAACCATCTGTTCACCATCATGCAACTGTAATTATTTGATTGTCGTCATCCAACCACTTTCGTTATATTATTATCATTTGGCAGATGTCACCTTATTGTTAATGCTAGATTGACATCATCCAAACTCCATCATTATTACCCTTCAAATATTTTTTTTAATACTCTTAGTGACCACAAGATATTAAATTAGTGTTCCAAGCATTATAATTCCATATTCTCCAACTGAGGAGAAGAACAAACCTTCGTAATTTCTATTTGAATTTGAAATCCCATCTTTTCCAAGGATGATTTCATCTATGCTAGATCTTTTGATCTTTCTCTTTTTTAATTTTTTACATAAAAAACTATTTGTGTCTCTTTGTTTTTCTAGTTTATTTATGTTTGTACATGTTATTAATGCAAAGTTAAGCCCAAAACTCTCTCTTTATTATCGTCAATTTACTAGCACACAATAATTAGATAATTATTCAAAATAATAATAGTAGTTATATAATTAGTTAAGTTATTAATAGTTATTAGATAAATAAGTTAATAATCTCCTCCCTAAGTTATACTATTACTTAAGTTAGATAATTAATATTATAAATAATAATTATATTATTAGTTAAGTTGTTTAATGATTAAACTAGCATCTAATTAAATGATTTATAATTTTAATTTATTGATTAAAATTTAAAATAAATTAATAAGTTGCATTAAAAATATAAATTAAATTTTAGTTTTAAATGAACGAACTGCCTTAAATCATTAATTACATTATTAAACAGGTGAACGAGATTTACTAATTAAATGCTACTACTATTAATCTTGCTTGTTGCAAACAGGCCCTAAAAGTTTTCTCTATTATGGTACACATTACAGTAAGAAAAAGGAGAAAATAATATTTTCACACCATTCAAACGTGTAAGCATGGAAGATTTACAAATTTTTTATTTTTTAATAGTGGGTTTTGTTTTGTTGAAATGTGATAGTTATATTTAATCCAAAAAAGCAATTGACTAGAAAACAAAAAACAAAAAAACAAAAATACTAATGTTGCGTCCTGGAGTATTCGTGGCGGTAGAGAAATATATAGTTTAACATCATAGCATTGTACGAAGATCCAGCACACAAACAGATTAGATAGAGGGTGTAGTGTTCATAAGAGACTAGAATTTTTACGTGGAAACCCCTAAAAAGGAGAAAAACCACGGGACTTGACCCAGTTTGAATGAATCCACTAGTATTTACAATCAGTTACAAATAAGACCCTTCCTTGGGAGAAGGCTTTGGTTTGATGCAACAAATGCACATCATATAGAGCGCATTATATTGTGGGAGTTACAATAATCAACATATACATGTTTGCTTAGACAGCAGGACCATAGTTAATAGGATAGAGGTTGGAAAGATCGTAATAGACATGAGATTGAGATCAGAAAGACCATTTTCCGACGGTGTAGGTCGGAAGGACAATAGTATGTAGGAGACATAGGTCAGAAAAATCATTGTTTGGCGATGTAGGTCGGAAGGACTGTAATAGGCGACAGAGGCTGGAAGGACCATAGTCGGTAGAAGACATGGGTCCAAAAGATCGTAGTTGGCCGGAGACCGGGGTTAGAAAGATTGTTGTAGTAGGGCCTCAAGTGATGGTCCAACAAAAGTCGGGGTGTCATGTGGTGGTCCGATAGAAGTCCGGGTCTCAAGTGGTGGTTCAGTGAATGTGAGGGCCTTAACTGGCGGTCCAACGGAGCAACAGCGTCAGGTAGTGGTCTGGTGGAAATCTGGTCCTCAGAAGGTGGTCCGGCAGAAGTCCGGGTCTCCAAGTGGTGGTTCGGCAGAGCAACGATATCAATCGGTGATCCAGCGGAAGTCTAGGCCTTAGGTGGTGGTCTGGCGAGGGTGATGGCCTCATGTGGTGGTCTGATAGAGGTGAGGGCCTCAAGTGGTGGTCCGGCGGAGCAACGACGTTAGGCGGTGGTCCGGCAGAAGTCTGGGCTCAGGTGGTGGTTTGGTGATGTTGAGGGCCTCAGACGGTGGTCTGACGAGTGTGAGGGCCTCAAGTGGTGGTCCGGCGGAGTAATGACGTCAGATGGTGGTCCGACGGAAGTCTGGGCCTTAGGTGGTGGTCGGGTGAAGGTAAGGGCCTCAGGCGGTGGTCTGGCAAGTGTGGGGGCCTCAAGTGGTGGTCCGGCGGAGCTATGACGTCAAGCGATGGTTCGACGGAAGTATGGGCCTCAGGTGGTGGTTCAGGGAATGTGAGGGGCTCAGGCGGTGGTCTGGCGAGGGTGAGGGCCTCAAATGGTGGTCTGGCGAAGCAAAGACATCGGGCGATGGTCCGGCGGAAATTTGGGCCTCATATGGCGGTCCAGTGAATGTGAGGGCCTCATGTGGTGGTCCGACGAGGGTGAGGGCGTCAGGCGGTGGTTCGATGGAGCAACAACGTCAGGCGGTGGTCCCTTGGAACTCAGACGGTGGTCGAGGATGAGCTTCTTCCTTCTCTTCATTCTCTTCTTCCTTCTCTTCTTGCTTGGGGTCCCCCTTTCAAGAGAAATGAGGGGACTATTTATAAATTTCTAGAGTGACATGGCCCATAAAATATGTGAGAGATCAAGGATAAATGGGGAGTTGTTGAATGGACGACTGATGTTGAATCTCTTGATTATGGATCGTTTGTCTGACATTTGAAGGTCTTAGTGATGTCAGAATTCGGCGATCTTGAACTCGTTGGATTCGTCTCGTCGAGCTGCTCGATTCGACATAAGTATGTACTGTTTGAAAATCGTTTGGTAATCCAATTTGTGGTTTGAACCTTCTAACAACGCTTTGTGTCCTTGATTTGGACTCATTTGAGCTCAGATTTAGTCGAATTTAGTGTCATTGGGTTCGTATTTCTGAGACGTTTAGTTTGACAATAAGTTTGTTAAAATTAGAGTTCAGATGATCCCAATTTTAATTTCAGAAGTTTCAAACTTGATTTTTCCTCGAGATTCGTGCCCGATCAAGATAATTTTTTGATGAGGTATCAACTAATAATGATTATCATGCATTATATAAACTACTTTTTAATTCTAATTGAGATTTACAAACAGTTAAAATTCTTATATATTTAATAGCTAAGAATTTATTACACGTAACATCAAAAACCCTCATCTTTCTCACTGTTCCTCTCCTATTACTCGAAACCCTTCCATGAAAAAAGAACAAGGAGCAAAGGTACTAAAAAAATTGACGGCATACGAAGGAGAAGAGTGCAATACCCGTAGGTTGAATTTTGATCATGAAATAATCACGAACTCTCTTGCAATTGCATTTTTGAATATATTTATATAAATACATATCAAATCAATAAGATGCTCTAAAATATATATTAAATGTATTTTCACCTTATTTAGTCTTTGGAAAAATTTGAAGAAGCTTAAGATAAGAAGTAGATATGAAATTCCTTGAAAATTTTAAATACACATTTCGACCTATAAATGTCAAATAATATTTTAAAATAATTATAAGTCTAATTTATAAATCAATTTTTTATCATATCATGGATAAATGTATGATTTAATTTAAGTAGGATATTGTAAATCCTCTAATTCAAGATTTATTAAATTTCGATAGAGTTAAATCCTAAAACTATTTGGCAAGAAGTATGTTAAATATTGACAAATCTTGTGAGACTGTTTGAGAATGCTATTTGTGATTTTAAATGGTTCATTAATATAACTATTGCGGGCTAGAATATACGTGGCGATAGAGTTTAATTTCTACATCTTAACATTGCCACACCGAGAACATAATATTTTTTACATGGAAAACACTGGAAAGGGAAACAGCCACGGGGCCTAACCCAGTTGAAAAGATTCCACTAGAATATGAATTGATTACAGTGGGCTGACTCATCCTTGAGGGCAATTAGATTACAAATGTCAATCGTATGGTTGAAGTTTAGTGTCAAATCTAGCATCACTTTGAAAGTTCGGGTCTCAAGTGGTGGTTATGCAGAAGTCTGGGCCTTAGGTGGTGGTCAGGCAGAAGTCTGGGCTTTAGGTGGTGGTCTGGCGGAGCTCAGGGTCTCAAGTGGAGGTGAGGGCCTCAAGTGGTGGTCCTGTGAAGGTGAGGGCCTCAAGTGATGGTCCTGCGAAGGTGAGGGCCTCAAGTGGTGGTCCAATGAAGGTGGGGGCCTCAAGTGGTGGTCCAAAAAAGATCAGGGCCTCGAGTGGTGGTCCGGTAAAGGTGAGGGCCTCAGGTGTTGGTCCGGCGGAGCAACAACGTCAGGCAGTGGTCCGATGGAACTTAGGCGATGATCGAGGAGGAGCTTCTTCCTTATCTTCTTCCTTCTCTTCTCTTATTGCTTGGGTCCCATTTCAAGAGAAAGGAGGAGTCTATTTATAGATTTATGGAGTGGCATGACCCCTAAATAGATGAGAGATCAAGGGCAAAGGGGAGTGGTTAATTGGATGGCCGATGTTGAATCCCTTGATCATGGACCATTTGATGGACATTTGAATGTCTTAGTGATGTTGGAATTCAGTGATCTTGGGCTCGTTGGATTTGTCTTGTCGAGCCGCTCGATTCGACTATAAGCGCGTTATGTTTGAAAACCATTTGGTAATCCAAATTGTGGTTCGAACCTACCAACAGTTCTTCTAACTCTTGATTTGGACCCATTTAGACATGTATTGGATTGGATTTGGTGTCATTGGGTTCATATTCTCGAGACGCTCAATTTGACTATAAGTTTGCTGAAATCGGAGTTCAGATGGTCCCAATTTTAATTTTGGAAGTTTCCAACTTGATTTTGCATTGAGCTTTGTGCCGATCAAGATAATTTTTTGATAATGTATTGATAGCATTCAAGTTTTAAATTTGAATTACTTATTAATTCTAATTTTAATTAGCAGCAATAAATAATTATTATGAAAACTGTAATTAGGGTACTATTTTAATAAATATTTATTAATAAATTATTTATGTGTTATTTTAATAAGTATATAAATGCTAATTATAATGATAACTATCAAATTAATTATTTTATTATAATTTAAAATAATCAATCATTTAATTATTATTTGTACTTATTATTTCATATTTAATTACTAATTATATTATTAATTAATTAATTTACTTAATTATTAATATTTAAATTATATCAATTAAGTTAATCAATAATAACTTAGAGGCGTCTAGGTTTGCCTTCATCTTCTCTTTTCGTCGTTGCTGTTCGGCTTCGTTGCTTCGCAGGAGGTGTAGAGATTGCACGCGTTGCTTCGTCGGCTGTTCGACTTCGCTCCTTCGACGACTTTCCCGTCCTGACGGATCGGAAGTTACGACATTTTGATCGGAAGCAACAACCGGAGCTCGCTGCCTGTGAAGGTAACTTTCTACCTTTCGCGCGCTTTTCGGCCAAATCCCATAAATCCGCCGAACCGAGGGATTTAGTAAATCCGGGATTTAAGCCGTAAATCCTTAAATCCGGGATTTACCCATCGCTGGGATTTAACGAGCGCACAAAAACAGTTTGGCTGGATTTGGCGTAAATCCGACTTAAATCCCTCTGTAAATTCGATACCAAACAGCCCCTTAGTCCTCCACCAAGGCACGACTTTCTTAACGCAACCGTAATCTTGCCGTTGTAATTCAACCACCGGGCTGAGATTCAGCTCTCCTTCTTCTTCTTCTCAACACTGAGTTAGTTGACGACGCTCGCCCAAAGCTTTCACTTGTGGTAGATATCTACACCTTTTCATCCTTCTTCTCCCCCTTTACTCCCGCTACTCCACCTTTACGCTGCCCCTGCTATCTCTGCTGCCATTGCGACATATAGGGCATCTGGATTATGCTTAACTCAGTTGATAAATTGTTTATAATTTTTGCTGCAAGTAATTTTTGGCCCTTTTGTTTTGCTGGCATCGAATATGTAACGTTATATTATAGCTGGTGTTAGCTTTTTGGTTGACTGACTTCTTTAAATAAAAAAATGAACAAGTAATATTTAAATTTTGTTTTGAGATCTAAATGCTAATATACTATGTTTACTTCTTGATACTAGAATATCTGTTGATTAAAATAATTAACTACAAAAATCATAATCACCGTTGATCTTTTTAGATAACATCAAGATATTTAAATAAGGTAACTTTACACCAAAACATAACTAAATATCATTGTTAATTACATTTGATTGTCATTTATATAACATTATTATTAACATAAAATTGAACTGAACAGTTGACTTGATGTGTTATTCCTCAGTTTCACTGGCAAGATGAGATCCACTTTCAGGCGTTCTAAGCGTTCTAAGAGAAGTAATGATGCGAGTGAAAGTAGTTTAGAATCGGATGGATATGATGAAAATGTGGTTGGATCTGACAGAGTTTCAGAGATGGAGATGGGGTTAACTTTAGATCAGTCTGAGAAAAATGAAGAAAATAATAGTGGAAGCGACTATGAAGATGAGGATGCTGAAGAGTGTGATGTAGTGTGTTTGCTATCTTTTCCTCTTAATTTGAAACCTTATTCTTTTCAGCTTGGCATTGACACTTTTTATCATTGCATAGGAGGAAGGGGAAAATGCTGAAAAAAGTGGTGGTCAAAGGGATACAGAAATGGAAGAGCTTGAGAAAGAGTATCAAACTATACGCAGCGTGGAACAGTAAGATTTTGAATGTTACTCCTTTTAAAGCAATTAATATTTCCCCTCTTCTATCTATTATATGGTTTTAATTTCAGCAGTGAAAGGATTTATTTGAAACTGATCAGGTTTTCTTTGTTTTTTGAATGAGTAGTATTTGGTTCTAATGTTATGTTTTGTTCATTTATTGCTTAATAATTGATCCATTTGAGCTTTTGTTTGACCTTATATTGTACAAGTGTATTATCTTTATTGATTGAAGCTTATTGAACTATTCATATTGTTAATAAGGATCTTATTCCACATGATGTATGCAGTTATTGAGAGCTCAATAATTGCTTAAGGGAATCCTTTTTAGATGTGAGGTAATGTGGAGGTGAAACATTGAGCATTACTATTTGCATGAATGACCCATCAGTTTTTTTTTTTATAAATACTCTCTTACCTAATTAGCCGAGCCAGAAGATTGGGATAAATGTTTGTTGTTGTTCTATTCTTTTATCTCATTAGATTTGATTGTCGAAACTGCAATATACTGATGATGTAATATTTTCTTTAGCATATTAGGGAACTTCTGTTGTACTCTCTCATTTTGTTCTTATTTAGCTCATTAATCTTAATCACAAGTCACATTTTTTGAACTAAGTGGCTTTCTTATCGTACTCTCTCATTTTGTTCTTATTTAGCTCATTAATCTTAATCGCAAGTCACATTTTTTGAACAAAGTGGCTTTCTTATCATATTAGGGAACTGCTTTTAACAAATAATTGTCACTTTTGAAGGAAACTTATCATATTTATTGAGACACTATCATAGATTGGTTTGAAGCATTGATTAGGTTCATTTCATTGTGATTGGAGTTGTAGGTTTGAATCACACCAACAACCATTTTGCATTGCAGGGTTAGGATAAGCACATCATCCTTTCCTCAAACCCATATTTGAGGGAGTCTCATGCCTTGGAATACCCTGTTTATCTAGGCCACTTATATTTAGCGACTTAGGTGGTTAGCTTACAACTGTTTAAGAGCATATGAATTTGGGTTTTATATGCTTTGATAATACAAAGAAGTGTGAAATGGATGAGATTCTGAAGATAGTGTGGTAGCTTATCTAGGGGTGGAGTGACAAACAATTATATTAGAGAGGCAGTTGTAGTAATAATTATTTGATGATTATGTTATGTAAAATAGAGTTAATTTGTTTAGATGAAATAAGTTTTATCAAATTAGATAGGTGGATAATTTCTTGGTTAATAGATCAAATGTAATATGATTTTGGGCTTTTCCCAATATTATTCTAATATTTACCGTTGTGTGTTTTAATTGCTTTAGGGTGCGTTGGGACGACTGCAGCTGTCGATAAAGTAGGTTGTGAAGTTATGGTGCAGAAAGTTACTTTTTGAACTTGCTGTACAGAAAATAGTATATTTTGTTTGGATGATATAACTGTGGAGCTGTTGTGCTGCAGCTGTGTGGAAACAAATTACCTAGATACCCTTATATATATTAAAATAAAAGAAATTTGTTTAAAAGATATTTTTTTAAAAAATATATATACGATAACCAACTAACAATTTTAATTTAAAAAAAAAAAGATATTTTTTTAAATTTTCTTTGCCGGTGCAAAGAAAATCCCTCCCATACAGCCGTAGAACTCCAAGCGCCTCCGGCCTCGGCTGCCCAACCTCAATAGTTCCGTCGAGCATCGTTTAGCCATTTTAGCTCAAAATCTCTATTAAATCCCACAATCAAATGGCAAAAATACAGGAGAGAAAATGCCGGTAGCTCACTTTCACTAAAGATGGGAGGAGAGGGCGAAAGAGAAAGCCAGCGGCTCCAATCTCCAGATCCTTCCAAATTGTTTTCTTTCATTCCAAAAGATTAACAAAAGAAAAAAAAAAAAAACGCACACATTGAACTTGAGACCGATTGTTTTTCTTTTACAATGACATATGGTAGAACTCTGGATTGAAGGAAAAAATCGAAGGATCACATGACGATGATCAGCTGAAGAAGCAAATCCTCAGAAGGAGGCAGAGGATATGGAAGAAGAGATCGATATTAACACCACCCAGTTAATTCAGAACTTCAATCAATTTCAGCAGCAAACCATAAGAATGTACAATGCAATGCTTGATGGAGAGACAACAATCCAACTCTTTCCCCTCAGAAAAAAAGAAATCGTAAAATTTACATAGTCAAGGCATTTAAATAAGATGATTGGAAATACATAATAAAATGGATTAGGAAAAGTATTCCACAAATTTTAGAAGTCATGCAATTATATAAGGCAGGCAAACAAAAGTAAATCAGGATGCTTTGATCGAGCAATCAAAAGAAGAACAACGACTGATCCTATTGCTAAGGATCTTTAAAGACCTCAATACCCTTATGAATGCATCTCAAAGTCGCCAAAAATGGATCAAAAACCACATTTCTAATCTCGGAACAGATGGAACAAATATGACAGGAAGTAAAATAAGATTTGCAGATGAAACAGACCAGTGGCTCTCCCTTTTGGAAGAGGTTGGACATAAGCTGCGAGGGGTCAACGAGCTTCTTTGGTGAGAAGAATTTCATGGCGAAGTACCATATAACCGCCATCCGGATTATTCCGGTCACCGTCTGGCCAAACCCTCCCCGCTGCCTTTGCCTCGCCGGCGTAGCCTGTGTAGCCGACATAGCCTGCGTAGCCACTGGTTGCACCATCGACGGCCGCCGAAGAACGCGATGAAGGATTAGGACAACTGGAGTAACTTACTGACCTCTCCCAGTTCTCAGAACTCCCGCCACCACTGCCACTCGAAAGCTCTTCCTTCGGCTCCGCCTTTTCTCCGCCTTTGCTCCGCCTCCGGCCATCCTAATCCTAGCTTCCCCCGGAAAATTTGATAAAGCCAATGGGTTTTACGGTGGAAGAAGTGCCGAACTTCACGGTGGAAGAAGAAGACACGGTGTATTTCGCAAGGCATTTACGTCTTTTTCTTACCCTCAAACAGCGGAAAGCAGCGAAAGCAGGAGCCGACTTCAGGACGGAAAAAGCAGCCGCGGGACGCAAAAATTTTGAGAACGTAGCACGACCTTGTCTCCCCAAACCCCAACTCGGTTGCGTTTCCTACCGTACAGCAGGGAAAACGGTGTCCCAAACGCACCCTTAGTTGTAGCTGAAAATTTTGCTGTTTCTTTCATAAAAAATCAATTCTTTGTCATTTTATAAATCACTCACTGCTGATGTTATTTCATTATGTTGTGTCCAATTATCCAATTAAACAACTCGTGGAATATGGCATTGTATTTGTTTGGAGTTGCAACAACAACAACAAGCCTTTATCCCACTTCATGGGGCCAACTACATGAATCAATTTTCTCCATTGTGTCCTATTAAGAGTCAAAATAGATCTTTGTAGTGTTTTATTTTTTTTGTTTAATATTGTGGATTACCGTCCAATAAGAAGGGGTACCTTACCTTAGCATTGTTTTTCCACATGCACTTCTAAAAATAGATCTTACCTCATTTCTATGAATGTTTATTTTGGCTTTCTTTACAAACGAAATTTTTTCCCAATGTTGTATCCTATTAGTAATAATCTTTGCCATGATTTGCCAACTAGAGATCTTTTGAAGAGTTTGAGGCATCGTAAGGATGAAGATGCCATTAAAGGTCAAGCTGTGAAGAATCAAAAGGTAATGATATTGGGATGCCTTGGCTAGTATTTCGTGCCATTGTTTTATCTCATGTTCTTCTTTTTTATCATATGTCGTGTCACCTGCTTATATTCCCTTTTTCTTTATTTAATGCTTTGTTGTAGCTCGCATATGCAGTCACTCAGTTGTTTCAGATTTATTTTCAACTTATTTTCTATGCCTATTTCTGTTATTATATTGTTGAAAATTCTCGAGGACTTTGAAATTTAATGGGGAATGCTTAACTTCATGTGCACTGTCTAGGATTTGGAAGGAAAACAAAGCAATTCTTTACTGAACTTTTGCACATCTTTTTAGTCTTGGTTGTGGGTATCTATAAACACTTTTGAAAGGATTACAGATTGATAGGTGACTTGGAGTTTTGCATAAATTCTGTTTGAGAATCTGGAGTGAGGGGGTGGGCGAGATCTTTAGGGGTCTCTAATGTACAATCTTCTATGTTGGCTTTCTTTCTAGCCGAAACGTCATCTAACATAAAAGATATGTGAATTCTAATTTCTCATGGATGAATCAATGGAAGATGTACATAAAAGAACATGTTTGAGGGGATTAAGGGATGAGGAGTTGTGAAACCACACTACTTTCTATTATTGGGAGGGAGAGCATGAGAGGGAGATAGAGAGGGAGAAAGGTGGGAGAGATAGTGAGTCCACACAACCATTAGAAAAATTTAAGCGGGTTGTCCTTATAATCTTTGTTCATTGTATTCCATTGTGACCAAGAAGAAAAGTATAAGGGTGTCAATTAATGACCCAACATGCCAACCTTACCAAAAAAATCCGGGTTTGGGTTGATGTGCATTTCAACCCATTTATTAGACGAGTCGGGTTTGGGTTGACCCTTCAACTTGATTTTGACTTGAAAAATGATTTGTTTAATATTTTTTCATTAAGTTCTTTTATTTGTCGGTATAATTTTTTCATTTTTTATCAATTAACTTAAAATTTATAGTTAACTAGTAAATAAAAATAAAAATTTGAATTGAAATTGGTCATCGGGTTGGGTTCAAGTTGCTAGCGGGTTAGATTCTGGTTCACATTTTTGCCATTTGTGAAATGGGTCGGGTTCGGGTTGGCTGGATTTGAGTCAGGTTCGGAACCAATCCATTGACCCATTTTGATGCCCCTAAATATAAGATTTTCAACTTCTCTCTAGCTTGGAGGAGGAATATAGGCTTTCTCTAGCTTGGAGGAGGAATACAAGAGAGGGAGAGAGATATAGAGGTTACAAGGGCAATTTAAAATTTATGTCAATATCTTAACAAAATTCCAAATAACAAACGCTATGGAAGCCTATTTATAAGAAAATGGATTCAATTAGGGCCTTTTGTTGATGCAATAGGTGAGCACATGTCTAACGGAGGTGATGCACTTAGTGTATGAAGGATACATGTTGCATTGGGTGGTTAATAGATGCAACATTTCAAAAGTCCATAGATCGCAACAATTAATAAGTGGCTGAGAAGAGCTTCAACAAAGTTGAGGTGACTAGGAGTATGACTAATGTGGCTCAACTTTATCATTAAGGCTCATTGATGATCGAGACCGAGTGCATAAAATAAAGCATTATAGAGACTCAAATATTTAATTTATTGCTATTCTGAGGGATAAAAGATTATAAAATATTAGTATATATTCAATTTCAAAGTGTTGTATTGCAAATAATCTAAAAGTTACTTAAGGGATTGTTTGGTTCGCTGTAAAGTGAATGCAGTGTAAAGTAACTAATTTTAGGTTGTTTGATTGTATGTAAAGTGAATACATGAAAATTATTTTTGCTGTTTGGTTGGGTGTATGTAAAGTAAAATTAGCCCATTGCCCCTAACATTCACAAAAAAATCAAACATCGAAGACACCTTGCTGCTCTAGGTTCTCACACAAGGTGGTCCAACCATCCTGGGGCTCCAGGTTCCCCCACGGAATGGCCAGATCAACCAAATCACAAACATTGTGTTGCTCTGAAGTGTGGAATGGCATAGCTCGGAGCAATGGGTTGTAGCAATTCGTCTGTATTGTCCGGCTCTCACTCACTTGAGGGTACCCGCACTGCCTCCACTTGCTCCACAGAAGAACGACTCCCGTCTCGCTCCCGCACACGTGAGTTGGATTTCACAACATAGAGCCAAGTGCGGGAGCTAGATTGGATTTCGTGGGAGGAGGATTTTGCGGGAGGAATGTTACAGCATTGGATTTTGCTGAAAGAGCCAAGGGGCTGTGCTCGTGTGACCTGGTCGGGACAAGGTCATGCGAACTGGTCGAAATGGGAGGAGATGGAAGAACAGATGGAGCTGTAGCAGACAGATAACATACAAGGTCGTGCGAACTTAAACATTGCATGACGCTCTGAACTCGGAGGAGGATGGTTCTCGCATCAATGGAGAAGAAACAAACTTCTCTCTCGCTTATGTCTGGTGAATTCATTTTTCGCTTGATTTGAGTGTGTTTGCTCTACGTGAAAAATGAATTAGAAGTGGGAATTCCGAATACGTTAGGATGTAATTTCACTTTACCAGGTGTCAAACCAAACTCGCAAAAAAGTTAAAATACATGCATTTACTTTACTTTTCACCCAAAAAATATTCCAACCAAACAACCCCTTAATCTTCCGTGGAATCCCCACACATATGAGGTATGAAAATAAATGTAATGTGTTGAAGAGTCATCACACAAGAGGGTTGGCGGGAGTGCTATACAAAAAAATTAGAGGCTATGGATTCTCATTGTTTACAAGGAAACATCTCTCCCACTTATTTGTATATACAAAAGGAAAGAGCCCATACATTGCTCCCTTGGCATCAATCGACAGCCCTTAGACGGGTCAAGTGGCGGGCAAAGAGTTGATTGGATTATTGATTTTTGTGTTTGTTATTGTAATTATTTGTTTTATGTTTCTTCTATGTAGTTATATGTATAGATACTTATTGAAAGAATGAACAATTTAAATTTTCTTTTCCACCTTTTCTTTTCTACATGGTATTAGAGAAATATTGGGGTTCTTTTTTTTTCTTTCAATATTTACTCTTCCAAGAAGTCAACAATCATGAATGGTGAAAATTAAATCAAATAAAACCTCAAGGGGCTACATGCCTCTTACTGCTTGAATGGAAGAAATTATCTTAAGTGATCTTAAATTATTATGACTTTTAAAAAGAAAAGAGAATAGTTCTTCATATTATGGGTCCTCCTTTAGAATCGAAAGGCCCAAATTTTGCTTTGTTGGGATGAAGCAGATTCCATGGCATGGCATGGTTATTTAACACCATGATACCTAAAATTAGTGAGTCATACATGCTCTCAACAACCACAAAAGATGTCTGGGACGTCGTTAAACAAACATACTCAAAAGTTAAGAATACTGCTCTCATCTACGAGATCAATAGTAAGATCTCAACAATCAAGCCAGGTAACCACTATGGAATTGAATATTTTAATGTAAAAAAAGTTTATTTGTTTGAATTAGACTATTTCTAATATTTTAAGATGAAGTGCAATAATGATGCGATGATTCTTAAATAGTTTATAGGAAGAGAATTTGTTTTTGAGTTCATGACAAGACTAAATAATGAATTTGATTAAATTCATGTTCAAATCTTGGGTAGATAACCTATCATATTTGAATGAAGTCTTCTTAATTATATGTGCCAAAGAAGAAAGAAGGATAGTAATACTTAACAACCCTATTTTGAAATATTTGTTATCACAATTAATGAATCTCATGTTAAAGGACTTATCATTGATTCTTCTTAAAAAGAATGATTAAAATTTTCTCCCAAATACAATTTTTAGTGTGAATATTGCAAAAAAAAAAAAAAAAAACAACAATAACAACATCATGCTTTTATCCCACTACGTGGGGTCGGCTAAGTGAATCCTTTTTATCCATTGTGCCATGTTAAGAGTCAAATCCTTATTTAAATTTAATAAATGATGTCATTTCTAGTAGTCTAGTACTTTTAAACAAAGTCTTTTTACGTCTACATTTACCTAACATGGTCCAAATCTAATACATCTACTCTCCTAACTGAGTGATTGGAAGATCAACATTTGATGTGGCCAAACTATCTTAGGCGACTCTCTTTGATCTTATTTGCCACTGGAGCTATGTAACCTTTTTATGTATATACTCATTTCGCATTCTGTCTCTATGAGTAAAACAACTCATCCACGTGAGCATCTTCATCTCTGCGAAACTTAACTTAATTTTATGCTTCTCTTTGATGGCCATCATTCTGCACATAAAGCATCGTAGGTCTCACCATCATCTTATAGAATTTTATCTTAATTTTTTAGGAGTATTTTTCTATCACACTAAGTCCAATTCATACCTCCACTTCAACCATCCAACTTGAATTCTAAAAAAAATCCATGAAAATCCTAAAAAAAAAGGTACATACAAAAATGTTGGCCATGAAAATTTCGATGGCCATGGTGGAAATAAAGGCCACTCAAATGGGCAAGCTTGTCTTGTCGAATCAGAATGGTTAACTAAGTAGAAATTGATAAACATAGTTATTTCCTCAACTTTCTAAAAAAAATCGTTAGGGTCATGCTCTTTAATCTAAAATGGTATGAATTCTAACCTCTGTTTTTTATGACTCAAATAATTCTCTTCTCACATAGATCCTAGATTAAGATGCCATTGATCACATGACAAGACTCGTCAACTTTTTTAAACTTATAAATCTTAGCCTAGTAATAGGTAAATAGATGTTGCTGATAGTTCCCTAACAACTATTACAGGTTAAAAGGAATATTCCTATTTCTCTCACATTAACTTTAAAAATGAATGTTTCTCACATTATAAAAAATCTTTTAGTAATCCATAAAATCACAAAAAATCATAATTCCAATATTACTTTTTTTGTTAGTTGTGTATTTAGGGCCTCAGTACGAGGTAGATGATTTGGCAATACTATACTTTCTTGAAGACAAATCACTTGCAATGTTCCTTCATCTCTACTCTCAATACAGAAATCATTTGGAAATATTATTATCGGCTATGATATTTCTCTTTTATATTCTTGTAGTATGTGTTTCCTTGTCTTTTTATGAATGTTAATATTGAAGTTTTTTGTTGTGAGATATGTGAAATTGTAAACCATCATGTTTTTTTGAAGTGTTTCTAGACAATCTACTCGTTTATATTAATTCATTTGGATATTTAGAGGCCCTTAAGAGTCCCTTACATTTTGGATCTATAAGACTTATCACGTGGAAGGCATATATATATATATCTTATCAAACAAAAATATGATGTCAACTTTATTCTTCCTATCTTTATTGCTATGATACAAAAGTCAATTTAAAGCTGAAATCAGGATATTTCACACAAATATTGCTAATGTTTATTTTAATCAGGCTATATTCTTTCTTCAATCAAGAATGTATCATTCACTAATCCTCTTGTTCTGACATCCCCCAACTAATGGGGTGATAGAAAGAAATTTGTCACATTCTGGAACTCATCAAGGCTCATCCTTTTCAAATCAGATATATTGGGTAGAATCAGTCATAATGGTTACATACCTAATCAATCGAACACCCTCAAGAATAATCGGATTAAAAGTTTCCTAAATTATCTTATAGTATTTTTCCTTTATAAATAACTTTTTAAAAAGTTTCTAAAAATACTTGAGTGCATTGCTTCTGTACACACCCAAAACAATACCAGGATATGCTTGATTTAGTGTGTCTTTATGAGGTATTTCTTCACTAAAAAACGGCATAAATGTTATAACCCAATTATAAAAAGATTTATTTACTTCAAAAATGTAACTTTTGATATATATTAATATATTTTTTAATTATACTAATCTTTAAAGGGGAAACAACCTATTAGTAGATAAGTTTGATAAAACTACTCTATTTTATCTTGACATTCAAATTATACAAACTCTAATCACTTTACCCTTTCAGATGAATCAGATCTATATAACTACGAATAAACTCAACCAAAGTCTCTAGCATGCTAAAGTCTCAATGCCGTCATAAGGTAACAATGATCAACTATTTGCGCATGTTTTCTTATAAACATCTTTTCAAAAAATTTTCTCCTAGACATGAAGCCTTACTAATATTAGCTCCCACTCTACTTGAATATAACAAATCCTATTTAAGGCATTAAACAATAATAGTTGGATGAATCCCATGAGAAAAAAATATGAATATCTTGGAAAAGAAATATCACAGTGGATAGCTTCCAAAAGAAAAAAAAGCAGGTTGCAAATGAATCATTCATTAAAACATAGAGCATCCAGAAGTTTGGAGAGATACAAAGCAAGGTTCTTTGTTAAAGGATATAGTTAATCATATAGAATTAACTATGAGAAAATATTTGCTTCTATTGTAGAAATGAATACAATTAGCATTTTAATTTCTCTTTTTGCTAACCTTAAGTGTTCTATGCAACAATATGATGTGAAGAATACTCTCTTATATGGAGATATTAAAGAAGAAATTTATATGAAAATTTCACGAAAATTTAACAGCCTTTTATAAAAAATAAGGTGTGCAGATTAAGAAAAGCACTTTGTGGCCTCAAATAATCTCTGAGAGCATGGTTTGACATATTTATAAAAGTCTTGTATGAAATATGGTCAAAGGGACCATTCTCTTCATAAAACACTCCATTGATGAAAGAATTTCAATATAGATGATAGTGAAGGAAAAGAATCACTCAGGAAAAACTCGCAAAAGAATTTGAAATCAAGGAAAACTTAAATATTTCATGGGTATATAAGTTGTTGCTCAAATAGAATAATGAGTTTTTATATTTCAACAAAAATATATTATGAACCTATGAAGGGAAACAAAGATGACTGATTGGAAGCCATATGAATCTCCAATTGAATCAAATCAGAAATTAGATATAGATGATGAAAAAATAGAAGTGGACATCGAACAATATCAAAGATTAATTGAGAAACTAATTTATTTATCACACACAAGCTTTGACATTGCCTTTGTTGTGAGTCTCATAAGTAATTTATGTACAAACCCAAAGAATTTTACATTCAAGCTGCTTATAGAGTTATCAGGTATCTTAAATCAAGTCCGAAAAAAAAAATCTCCCAAATAACATGATACTTCACAACTTAAATATTATATTGATGCTGACTATACTGGATCAACAATGGATAGGGCATCGTCACCAATGGATAGGGCATCCGCATCGGAATACTGTATGCTTCTTTGAGAAATCTTACAACATGAACAAGCATGAGATACCTTTTAGTTTCAAGATGCAATGCTGAATCTGAATTCAGATCAATTGCTTAAGGTATTTGCAAACTCCAATGGATTAAAAGCATTATAGAAGATTTAAAAATTAGATGGGAAGCAAATGCAAATATACTGTGTAAATAAATTTGCCATCAACATTTCTCACAATCTTGTACACTGTGGTCTTACTAAATATTTGGAAATGAATAATATTTCATACAAGAAAAATTAAAAAGTGGATTGATCTGTACTCCGCACATTCCAATTGGAAGACAATTTGTTGTCATATTCACTAATGACTTGGCAACCCACATTTAATAATATTATAAGCAAAATTGAAATGATAGATTTCTACCATCTAGTTTGACTGGGAGTGTTGAAGAGACATTAGATCAAGAGGGGCTGGCAGTAGTACTAGTCAAAGCCAATTAGAGGCTACGGATTCATTGCTTACAAGAAAATACCTCTCTCACGGATTCATATGCAAGAAAAAAAAGAAAGAGCCCATAGACTGCTCCTTTCACATCAATTGGCAGCCCCTATATGGATCAAATGGCTGGTGGATAGCTGTTGGGATTGTTTTTTTTTTTTGTTTTTTAATTTAATTATTTATTTATTTTTTCTTTTATGTAGCTTCCTTAAAATAATGAACAATATAAGTTTTTTCTAGTCGTTTCTTTTCTACGATATGCATATTTTTCTATTAAGTATTTGATTATAGACTTATGTAATGTGACAATTGCAATTGGTTGATTGATATTTCTAGATTGGTATATTAAACACCGCCTATGAGACACTCATCTACAATTTGTAACGCCTAATAATCACAATAAATTTGGAATTTCAAATATTGGTGTTGGGGGATTGATATCAGATTGGATTAATTTTTTCCTTGAGGAAAAAGCAGTTGGAACTTATGGGTACTGTTAATATTGTTGCTAACTTAAAATTTGTCTATGTTGATGGTTAATTTTGATCTCATTTATTTGAATTGTAATATGTTGTCATTTTGTAATCTTGTGTTGCATTGAGGTGTGTTGTTCGTAATAAGTTAGGCATTTCTCTTATTGTTATATTGATTATACAAGATACTTAGTAAATCAATTAACTATGTTCTGAACCAAAGGGGTGGGGTGCATGCTTTACTTATTTCTATATTTTCATTGCCACGCTAATCATAAATTTGGAATGATAAGTTTTTAAAGAAACACAGAAGCAACACATTGCCAAACAAAACATAGTTTCCTGTGATTTTAAATCCATTTTATATAATGATACTCAAATGTCTGCAATATGCTTATCAATTAAATTTTATTTTCATGATTTTTCTTGTGCTGAGAGTTGTGTTATGCTTCAACTTAGATGCTTTCATTTCCTGCCATGTGAATTCTCATTAACAATGCTTTTCAAGCGTACTGTCTTTTTCACAGGCTCTTTGGGATAAGACCTTGGAGTTTAGGTTCTTGCTTCAGAAAGCTTTTTCAGCTTCCAATAAGCTTCCACAGGTTTGCTTAAATAAACAATATCCATTCTATAATTGGATAAATATTTCCCATTATTTAATTAACTCTTTGTGATGTGTATTTACTGCTCTTTACCGTGCCTTGGCTTATGTGAGTTATTTCAGGAACCTGTCAAGTCATGCTTTTGCAATGCAGATACGACAGTTGACCAAGCCTATCTAGAATTGATATCTTCATCTAAGCAGACTTTAAATTCGCTGTTGGAGCTACAGGAGGTATCACTGATTTGCCTATTTTCTTGGTTGTGGTCAATTTGTGGCTGAAGAGCATATTTCTATACATGCTCTGTTTTGGGCAATTTTGATTGATATGCTTTTCCTATGGATTTCTCAGGCTTTAATTGAGAATAACCACTCTATTACTCAAGGTGCGGTTACTATGTCTTCTCTGGTAGTTATTGGTTTCTTTAGATTTAAATATCATCAAGTAGAAGCTGCAGTTTTACCCATTTCATTTAGAAACACACGTTTTTTATAGAGATTTAAGCCTTCTAGATTAACTGATTTTTTTATATTATCATCAAAATAGTGTCTTTCGTGCTGTGATTATATTGTTCACTTGTGGATTTAATTATACATTGGTCACATTATGGTACCCATGTCTCTTAAAAACTTTTAAATCTGTTATAACTTTTGTCGTATTGGAGAAAAAAAGAATTGTATGATCATCAGATATCGTTTATGTGATTGTCGCATGCTGATAAGATGATTCCTTGAATGTATACTTGCAAGTTGCACAAGACAATTTGCTACTGCACCTAATAGACGACACAGTAGTTGGGAAAAGGCCGAGCAAAATGTCTATTTGATGGTAAGATTGGTGGGCTTGTGGACAAGTAAATCCATGGGGGTCATTTACAAATTTTCATTGAAGAGGATCATACATGGTCCTTGTGTAAATATTTACATTGTAATACAGGGAGAACTAGCATTCATAATTCTAACGATCTGAACTCCAAGCATGGTTTGTGAAAGGGTTAATACTTCAGGGAAAAAAATCATGCTCCATCTTCTTTTCTTTTCTATTTTGAATAATGTTCACCATCTGCCTCTCTAGGTCCATCCATTGCCAATTGACCTTATCAATGGACAAACCGTATCTCGTAAACCTCAATGTAAACTATTCTGTTTGTCTAAATTTCAAGCTTTAGGAACGCAATTATATCTATGCAATATTTGTTAAAATTCTTTCAACATATGTGTGATGAGTTGTTTTCAATGATTAAGATGCAAAAGAGTCATTTGCTTATATATATGCAACAGAGTATTTATGGGCGCCTTTTGGAAGTGTATGGGAGAATAACTAGAATAGTTTCTTCTATCTAGTACCCTGAGGCTTACCCATATAAAGAACGAAAAACATTATTTATCCATTGTTCCTCTTAAACGAGGTATAAGAATGCTACAGCTCAAAAGGCAGAGGAAGGTATAGTTAAAATGAGCATTTGAACTTAATGAATTGAATATCTAAAATTGGAATTGGAACTTGTGGACAAGTTTCAGTGAATCTGAAGTGCGTTTATTCTAGTATTTTTGTTTACGGTGCCATTGCATATGCTTATTGCCATGTAGCTTAGCATAGTCATTTTTGTGTGGTCTATAGTGTTGCAAATTTTGTTTCACAATTTATTGGGCTATGCGTTAATTGCTATTGACACGTACAGTGACATATGAATATCTAATTGTGTAGGATATTTTAATGCATTCTGTGGTGCATCTTTCAAATTATTTATTGTCACTTAAATCTAATTATTTTTTATTTTCTTTAATGTTGGATAGTTCCCTCTTGTTGCTGAATGTTTGATTTCCTCTATCTTAAAACGAGCCCTTAGAAAAATTGCGTTCCAAATATTCTATAGAAAAACCAATGTGAGTTTGTCTTCAAAGATTACCTTCTGCCATAATCTATTAGTTTCATGAGACCAATTCGCATTCATTTTTCTAACAGGAAGGATACGCATTTGAGTTGATTAAGTTGGGACCAAGTCGAGGCCCTAATTTGGATTCAAATGAATTTTGAAAGTCATGGATTTAAAAATCTTCAATACCTAGATGTATGTTTACTTGGATTTCCTTCCCAAACTTCTATTTTTTTTAGTGAGGATATAACTTTGGTTTGAAGGTGGGTAAGAGGTGAAGGCTAATTTGGATACATGAACTTGAGTCATAGAATTAAAATCTCATATACCTTCGTAAGTCATGTTGCTTTGGACTTCCCTTCAAATCATAATCTTTGAGTGAACTTGTGTTTGTGTTTTGATCTTAACATTATTATTTAATGGTATTGACACTTATATTCATTTGTCCATCAAATTTATCATGTTATGTTGCCTATGATCCACAAAGTTGGTCTTATCCAACTTGATGTTGACTTTTTCACTATTTGTCTCCGGCCCCCTTTTTGTGAAGCTATCCATCCTAAATTTTTTTATTGATTCTATCTGTTTATTTGCTAATGGTTCCTCTTTCCTCTGTTATAGATATTGAAACAATGTTAAATTGATTCTCATAATATTACTCTCAATAGTTGTAATCGCTACGCTTCTGCTGTCTAGTCACACCTCACTTCATCATTCTTCTTTTTCCAGCCTTCCATTATGGAACTCCAATTCTGCTATTAGCTTAAAACACGTGAGGCTAATATAATTCACCTCTTATAGCTGTAAGTTCAGTTTCATAATCTAGTCTTTCTCTGTCTGCAGATTTGGGTCTTCTGGCATATTTGTTACTAAATCTGCATTTAACTTTCTTAGGCCACATTTTCCTATTTAATATTTTTATCTTTGCATGGTACTATCCTGGACTTTCAAGTTTGTTAGAATATCTATGGTTTCTGATCTAGGTCTCCATTTTATTTTGAAATCTAATCTATATTAATTCTTGCCATGATGAACTTTTCCTGAGCAACGATGAGAAAAAATGTATTTGATTTATTTCCTTTGATATTGCATGCTGTTTTTACTTGTAAATTTAGTTAACTTGATACGCCTTCTCTCTTATTTAAGGAAATGGTAAAGGTTCTTGCAAGGATGATGATTTATCTTTAGATTTCAAGGGAGAAGATGAAGAATGGTCAAACATATACAAATCATATGACAGGTTTATTGATGGTTCTCCATATTTTAAGAAATATTATCAAAATTGCTCATGCATCACTATTAGCTGAGATTATATGTTTTTTCCCAATAATTTTTTTATTCAAAACCATTCTGACCTCTGATAGTGGTTCCAGTGGGGTTGATAGGACAAAAGACTAGAAGAAACGCGTAAAAAAGCTTAATGATGATTATAATCTGTTTTTGGAGTGAGTTATATGCTATTTTTAAGCATAAAAAAATTAATCCATTGAGCTTACTTGCATTTCTATACTATACAAAGTCAATTTAGAAGCAACATTTAATTTTTCATGCTAAGAGCACTTGATGATTTCCAAGCCTTTTTATTTCCATGGGTGGTTTCTCCTTAGAAATGTTTGGCTTACTCATATGGATTTGGATTGATGATAAGGTTTGGTTTTTCAGGCTGTAGAATAGGCTAGGTGGAGTTTCTGCTTTTACTTTTTTGTTAGGGTTGATGGCAGGAACTATTTTATACCATCAAAGATTTCCTTTATCTAATTACGTAATGTGGGCAGTGGCGAAGCTAGAAAATTTTTTCTGTGGGGCTCGAAAATTCGATTTTAAAAATTTCCTTAGTCTTTTAACAACTAAATTGGTTTCAACACAAACTTTTTTGCACTATGTATTGTCATGCTCATTTCCTTATCATAAATACAAAAGCTTGTTTGGACTGAAGTTATTTATTTCTCATGGATGTGGAAAGAGAGATGAGGAGTAAATTAAAAGAAAAAGTTTGAGGCAATAAAATTTAAAATAGTTAAGACTTATCTGAAGAGCTTAATGGGAAGAAAATTTATGAAGGTACGGGTATCTCCATTGCATCACGTGGTGGGTTGCAATTTCAGAGTGGGAACTTAATTTGATCTTTTTGCTTAAATAGTATAGGACAAATCGGCAAATGAAGTTGCTACAGGAATCTGTAATTCTAACTCTTTCATTCATAAACGTGAGTTTGAGATGAGAAGAATTTGTGATTTCGTTTCTATATACGGTACTACTGCTACCTGTGATATGGTTTGTGTTGGAAATGCTGATATATTTTTTAAATTGCAGAATATCAACGTTCAGAAATAATTCGGTAGACAAATGGCATAGAAAGACACAGGTCACGACTGGTGCAGCTGCTTTCAGAGGCAAATTGAATGCCTTTAATCAGGTGGGCTTTGAGTGCCTGAATACAAGGAAATGTAGAGCATTTCCTTTTTAATTAATTTGTTTTGGTTTTACTTCTTTTTGTTGTTACTTTCGGTGTAGAATGTTAGTGACCAAATCAACAGCTACATGGGAGATCCTAATCGAATGATTAAGAGGATGCAATTAAGGGGTTCTTCAGTTGGTGTTTTTGGGAAAGTAAGAATATAATATTATCAATATTTGTGTTAGGAATTTTTTTTATGTACAAGTCTTTTGATTGCTATATTTTGACTCCGCAGGTGCCTGCGGTGCTTGAAAAAACAACAGAAGAGGTTTTTCACGAATCCTTGTTTATGTGATGCACAAGTTATCTCAAATTTAAAATAAGTACTCGGCAATGTCACTTACCTTTATTGTTATTTTTTCATTAATAAAGAAACAGTGAGTTAGCACTTAAATTTACCTATAATATATGGTTTTGAAATGATGTTATTAGTAAGTCATTGTAGGTCGTTTACTTAAGTTGCTTGTTAAAACTTGATTCCTTTCTCTTTGGTCGAGGGGCATTAATAAGCACCTCTAGATTATCGTAGTGATATTGCAAACGTTTGAAGAAAATTATATTTTACTTGATTACATGAAGTTATCAACACCATTATCATTGCAAATGTTTGAAGAAAATAATATTTTACTTGATTACACGATGTTATCAAGACCATTATCATCATAAGTTATCTTTCCTTACTATTTTATGATAGGCTTCTTGAGTACTTATCCACCATTCATTCCAATTTGGATCGATATTTATTGTTAATTACAAGCTTTTCAAGCTTGTTTTTTTGTTTCAGTGCCCAGCCTTCAGTTTTAGGAGTTTGGGCTTTAGGTTTCATTTATTATTATGAAAATTTTCTAAATTTCTAATATTTTAAAATCCAAGAGTAAGTAAGCCTAATATATATAAATAGAGAAAGCAAATCATAAAGTTTCAACAGAAGTGCTTTAGGCAATTTGAGAAAAGAAAGGAGTTAATAATGCTTATATTCAAGTCTGTAAGGATATATATATGCATGAGCTATTACTTGTGTATAAACACAAGGTGGTTTGACCAAGTATTTTTTTGTTTCAGTTGGACAACATCAAGGATCAACTTTTAAGCCCATATCTTTTTTCTTTTGTCATGGATGTTTTTACTAAACCTTTGCAAGAGGATATGCCTTGGTGTATGCTTTTTGCTGATGATGTTCTTCTATTGATAACACTAGAGAGAGATTGAAGGAATACTTTAATTATGGAGGTCAACCTTAGAGTCTAAAGATTTTCTTTTGAGTTGATTTAAAACCGAATACATGGAGTGTAATTTAGTAGTAATAGATCTAGTGGAAGAATTGTGACTTTGGGCGATCAAGTCATTAAAAAGAGAATACACATTTTAGATTCCTTGGGTCTATTGTTCAAAGTGATGGTGAAATAGATGGAGATGTTATTAGTAGAATTCAAGTTGGATGGTTGATGTGGAGGAATGTATTGGGTCTATTGTCTGATAAAATAATACCTCTCAAACTCAGGGGAAAATTTGATAAGGTGGTGGTGAGACCTGCAATGCTTTATGGCGCAAAATGTTGGCCATTAAAAAAACTATAAAATTAAGTAAAGTGTAAGAGAGATGAGAACACTGCTGTTGTCAGGTCCCAAGCCTTGGATGAGAAAAATGAAGGGTTGTATTAGGTAGTTGACTGCCAATATAAAATTTATCGAATAATCATGATATGAATATTTAAATACATTGTGTTAATGCTATGGCTTTTTCTGGAAGCGACGTGCTTTATGGTTTGAATATAGTCAGAAGTGTGCAATGGTCTTTGCACCGATGCCTGGGTACAATGTTAAATAAACAAGAATTATAACATCATAGGCAAATGTGGGCAAAGAACTTCATCCATGAAACTAGAATTAAAATGAGAATTTGGAATATAGGTTTTTTAACAAGCAAATTAATGAAATTAATATATATTATGATTCATAAGAAATAAATATTTTATGTATTTAGAAAATTAAATGTGTTAAAGAGAAGGCTAAGGAAATTGATAGTTTATGATTTAAACTATAATATTTAGGTAGGAGTCGTACTAGAAATGATGTAGGTATGATTATGGATAAGAGGTTGAAGGATAATATTGTTGAAATTAATAGAATTGGAGATAAATTTATAGCTTTAAATATTTTTGTTGATGCTAACATTATTAATATTGTAAGTGCTTATACTCCTCAAGTAAGTTTGGATATGTGTTTAAAATTAAAATTTTTGAATAACGTAAAAATTAATTAATACAAAAGATAAATTTTGAAGAATTTTTTTTTATTGTAGGAGATTTAAATAGACATGTTGGTATAGAGATAGAAGATTTTAAAAGCATTTATGGGTGGCTATGAATTTGGAGCGACTATTGAAGGTGGTAGGATCATATTAGATTTTTCTCTAGCTTATAATTTTGTGTTAATGCTAGGGTGATCCATGGAAGCGACACGTTGTATAACCTGAATATAGTGAGAAGTGTGCAAAGGTCGTTGCATCTGCGCTCGGATGCAGTGTTTAATAGGCAAGGGTTCTTACATCATGGACGGATGTGGGCAGTATGTTAGGATAATGGAATGTAGGTTCCCTACATGCAAATTAATGAAATTAATTGATATTATGATTTATAAGAATAGAAATATTTTATGCATTCAAGAAACTAAATGGGTGAGCGAGAATGCTAAGAAGATTGATAGTTTAATGTTTAAATTTTGGTATTCTGGTAGGAGTCATACTAGAAATGGTGTAGGTGTGATTATAGATAAGTGTTTGAAATATATTATTATAAAAATTGATAGAGTTGAAGATAAAATTATAACTTTGAAGATTATTGTTGATGATAAGATATTTAATATTATAAGTATTTATGCTCCTCAAGTAGGTTTAAATATATGTTCAAAATTAAAATTTTAGAATGACTTAAAATAATTAATACAAAAGATACATTTTGAAGAAAGAGTTTTTATTGGGGGAGATTTAAACGGACATGTTAATAGAGAGGTAGAAGATCTTAAAAGAATTCATGGTGGTTATGAGTTTGAATAGACTAATGAAGGTGGTAAGACTATATTAGATTTTACTCTAGCTTATAATTTTGTTATTGCTAATGTCTTATTTAAGAAAAGGGATGAACATCTCATTACTTATAAGAATAGATATAGTAAAACTCAGATTAATTATTTTTTTATAAGAAAAATATATCTTTTATATTGCTGATATTGTAAAGTTATTCCGAGTGAAAGTCTATGCACCAGTACAACTTATTAATTTTGTACTTAAAGATGAAGGGTCAGAGTATGAAAAAATATAGTATATCATTGTTTTAGGATTAGATTGTGACATTTAAAGAACTCTAACAAATATATCTTTGAGAAAAGATTCACGATCATAAGATTTTGTCGGTGTATGAAGAATCTAATGTTATGTGGGAAATAGTAGCTTATAATGTTAAAAATGTTGCAAAGGATTTGCTTTGAGTAAAAATAGTTGATGGTGAAATCAAAATGTATAATAAAAGATAAAAATAAGAAATGTTATAAAAATTGATTTAGATGTGAAAATTAATAATTATATAAAGTTGTTCTTTACGAGTCTAAGAAAGCATTCACCGATGTAAAAACTTTAACTTTTAATTATTTATATAATAAATTAGATGCTAAAAAGGGTGAAAGATATATGTATACGTTAGCCAAACAAAGAGATAGTAGTAAGGATTTAGTTCAAGTGAAGTGCATTAAGGATGAAGATAAAAAAGATGATATTCAACAAAGGTAGATGAGATATTTTGCTAAGCTTTTCAATGAAGATTGTGAAAATATGATTGATTTTAGTGACCTTAACACTTTAATTAAAAATAAATTATATTACTAAAATTGAAATTAGAGAGGTTTTAAAGAAAATGAAGTGTGGGAAAACTATTGGATATGTGATATTCCAATAGAGGCGTGGAAATGCTTAGGAGATGAAAAAAATTTTTGGCTTACTAAACTTTTTAATATTATTTTGAAGACTAAAAGGATGTCAGATGTGTGGAGAATAAGTGTTGATTCTTATCTTTAATAATAAATGTGATGCACAAGATTGTGCAAATTATAGAAAAATTAAGTTGATGTATCATACTTTAAAACTATGGGAGAGAGTTATGGAGCATAGGTTTCGACGTGATACTAATGTTTCTTAAAATCAATTTGGATTTATGCCGGGTAGGTCTACTATGAAAGACATACATTTATTGAGACATTTGATGGAGAAGTATAGAGAGAAAAAGGAAGATCTTCATATGATATTTATTGATTTAGAGAAAGCACATGATAAAGTTCCAAGAGAAATGCTATGGAGATTTCTAAAAAAAAAGGATTAATAATGCTTATATTCAAGTTATTAGGGATATATGTGCTGGATGTGTTGTGTTCAAACACAAGGTGGCTTGACCAAGTATTTTCCAATTTTAGTTGGATTACATCAAGGACTAGCCTTGATCCCATATCTTTTTGCTTTAGTCATGGATGTTCTTACTAGAGATTTGCAAGAGGATATTCTCTAGTGTATGCGTTTTGCTAACGATATTCTTCTTGTTGATAAGACTAGAGAGAAAGTTGAAGGTATTCTTGAATTATGGAGGTCAACCTTAGAGTCTAATGGCTTTAATTTGAGTAGATCTAAAACTGAATATATGGAGTGTAATTTTAATAATAATAGATCTAGTAGGGGGATTGTGATTTTGGGCGATCAAGTCATTAATAAGAGTACACATTTTATATTTCTTGGGTCTATTGTTCTGAGTGATAGTGAAATAGATGAGGATATTATTAGTAGAATTCAAGTTGGTTGGTTGAAGTGGAGGAGTGCATCGGGCTTGTTGTGTGATAGAAAAGTACTACTCAAACTTAAGGAAAAATTCTATAAGATGGTAGTTAGACCTGCCATGCTTTATGGCGCAGAATGTTGGCCATTAAAAGAGAAGCATAATATTAAGTGTTGCATAGATGAGGATGCTCAGGTGGATGAGTGGCTTTACGCTTAGAGATAGGATTTGAAATGAGCATATATGTAAAAAGGTTAGAGTAGCTCCAGTGGCAGATAAGATTAGAGAGAGTTGCCTTAGATGGTTTGGTCACATAAAACGCAGCCTTCCGATGACCCGGTTAGGAGAGTAGATATATTAAATTTGGCCTGTGTTAAGAAAGGTAGAGGTAGACCTAAAAAGTCTTGGTTAGAAAATATAAGAAATGATATTTTTATTAGATCTAAATGAGAATTTGACTCTTAACCGGACACAATGGAGAAAATAGATTCATACAGCCGACCCCATATAGTGGGATAAAGGCTGGTTGTTGTTGTTGTTGTGTGTGTATTGAGATTATTTGGATAAATATTTTGTCAATATCAAGACTCATCTGTTACACATGATTTGACGTTGATATCCACTTAAATCAAAGAAATTTTGGTCAAAAATGATTTTGTTTGGCGATGACTGATTTCAGCCCAAAGATTAGTTTGGTTTCTTCTACTTGATCGCAAGCCGACAATCAGTGTTTGCGATGAACCTTGGAAGTTTACCTAAGTTCTTACAGCAACCCGGGTAGCTTTATAGTGTTCAACCCAAGTAAACTGCCTGGGTTTGTTATGAATCCTTTCAGCTTGTAAGAGTTCAACTTAAGTAGCCTGTCGGGATCTTATATGAACTATTAAATTTTCCATGATTAAGTTAGAGCTTATTTATTAACTTTCAAAAAATGTTTTAAAAAATGATGATTTCGTTAAAAATTAGTCATATTTTTGGACAAATTTTGATCATCTTTAAAATCTATGTTGATTTGTAGAACAGTCTGAGCAAATAGTGGAATGGACTAGATTCACCATATTTATGCCGTTTATGGATGCTTTACTTTCTTATCACCCTGCTACTACAACTGCATTCATCACTCAAATTCATATATTCAAAATGATGCATCATTTTATCTGTTTTTTATTTTATTATTATTATTATTTTGTTACAAACAGGATGGGAATTTTGATGGAGATCCAGAACTTCTTGATGACTCTGAATTTTATCAACAACTACTAAAAGAATTCTTTGAATCATGTGACCCAACATCTTCTGGTTAGTTTATATTACTTGGAGAAGATCATTATGAGCCATTATATCAAATATCTTAACAACCTTGAATTGGAGGTTAAGTACTTGAAACAAATTGACCATTAAGCTTAGGTTACTGGGACTTAGATGCTTTGCTTCTGTTATTTTGCAGAGTCTGCTTTTTATGCCTTGAAAAAACTACAGCCAAAGAAGCGAAAAATAGTCGATCGTCGAGCTTCTAAGAGTCGGAAAATTAGGTAATATTCTATTTTCCTTTAGATATGCTTTTATATTTTTGCTTCCAGCTGCTTACTTTCACATTTAATTATTAGGTACAATGTCCATGAAAAGATAGTGAATTTCATGGCTCCAGTGCCAATGAACCTCCCTCCTATGGCCCCAAAGTTATTTGAGAACTTATTTGGCTTTGGCAATCCAAAATCTGCTGTGGCCTGAGTAACTACAGCAGGTTAGTTAGGCAAATGATGCAGAGATTCATGAAATTCTATTAGGAGTAAAATTTTACCTACTTGTAAATTATATATATTTTTTATGTCTTATAATTTGTTTAGGTTGGCAGTTGATGGTTTTTTAGTCTCAGTTTCTTTCATGATTGTTAAAGCATATGAGTGTTTGACTCAATATAACATTAAATAGTTGAAAATTGTATTGAAACTTTAATATTAGTAATTGACTTTTAGTTTTATGCAATTTTTTTACAATTTTATTGGACTTGATTTCACCTAATTTTGGGAACTGTAAACCTAAGGGGCTGTTTGGTAGCAGGATTTAAGCCGGATTTGAGGTGGATTTGAGCGAAATCCAACCAAATGGCATAAAATGCAAAACCAAATCTCATGGCAAATGAAAGTTGTGGTAGATAGAAAATTTCGTCTTTTCGTCTTTCCGCGCTGAATCCTGGATTTTTGAAATCCTGTTTTTTGTCGGATTTATGAAATCCATTGGCTTGAGAGGAAGAGTCCGCTTGTTAAATCCGTTATATCGCAAAGCAATCACACTTAATGCAATAGGATTTATCATGAATATTACCAAACAATTTTCAGGATTGTCTTAGGATTTTCGAAATCCGGATTTAAAGGATTTACGAAATTCTATTTAAATCAAATTCTGGGTGCGACCGAACAACCCCTAAGGGCCTTATCTTTTGAGCAAGGAATATTTTATTAAGGTTAAACTAATCAATAAAGGTGATATTCTTTTGATTGTTAATAAATTAGGATTGTTTTCATGATATCATGCTTGATATCTTTAACAGTTTTTTTTAGAATGATAATTCTAAAAATAGAAGTTTTTTAAACTAGTAACTATAGCTGCTCAGTAGTCATTAGTGTCATAGTATCTCTATTTAATAGATTAATGGTTTTCCTTTAATAATTGGTTAGCAATATTAGTAACTAGTTTATTAACTTATTTTTTAAAGAACGCCCAAGTAGAAATTCCTAATATTATATCTAAGAACTATGATTAACTATAATACAACAAAACAAACGATTAATAGGCATTGATGAAACATAATTAGTAGCTTGTTAAACACATTGAATTCCTAATTAAACATAGTTTGTAAGTATAAGTTATGTTTAGCAGTTGTAGACATGATTAAGTGCAAGGTCTAGTGAGCTTTAATTTAAATTTAAGGTCATTAAACCCAAGATTAGAACCATTAAAATTGATAACTCAGTAAAACTCTTACCATATTTGCAGTGATGAGGTAAAGCTCAAACAAAATTTCAATTATGTAACTATTTATTTTTTATAATGTTTGATATAAATTGGGGAACACTCAAGTGCTACATTTCATCTTTAAGGAAACACAAGAAATTAGGAAAACAATGTGCATTTTTTTTAATGCTTATAAACTTTTCAAAATTCAAAATCAAATATTTGATTAATTGATCCCTGATTCAAAACTTAAAAAAATCTATAATTATTTTGAAGATATTTTAATCAAATAGTGAAGATATTTTTATCAAATAGTGAAGATATTCGTGCTCTTAAGTTTATGTTTTTGATATAAAAAAAAAAAAATACATTCAAATAATTTTGAGGACAAAATAAATTTTATATATTCAGAAACATATTTATAATGTCATGCCATGATTTGATATTATATGATGTAAAATATTTCAAATATAAAAATTTAGTAAATATTTATGTTTAGTTTTAAGCAAGAGTAATATAGAGTCAAATTTTAGTGTATATGAAATTCATCTTTCAATTCAAATTTGATATATTTGAAATCCATTATATTTGATCGATTTTTAAATACATTGAACATTCTCTAACATCGATGACGCCGTTACCACAACTCATCATCAGTTGCTGCCCCACACCGACTGCCTCACCTGACATCGCCTACCGTCGCTCACCACCGACTACCACCTATTGCTTGCAGCAAACCATAGTTACCACTCCGTGTTGTTGGTCGTCACTATTGCCACAACTTGTTGCCATCGCCACTCATCTTTGGCTGTCGCCACATCCCAATGCCACCGCTGCACGCCAATCTCTTGCTACCACCATTGTTGGGTTATGCATTGCATTTATTTTACATTAAGCTAAACAAAACAAAGTAATAACACAGTTATTTTGCACTCATTCAAACACCACCAAATATTTCAAAACCACTGCATTCTTTTTACATTTTATTCTATTTTATTTTGCATACTTTTTTATCCAATCAAATGAGAAATGTTTTTTTTATACATGTAATGAAGAGCTCCTGACGCCACAACAACAATAATAATAACATCAAGCTTTTATCCCCTATGGGATCTGCTACATGAAGAGCCCCTGAAGCAAATATTGGATAAAAAACTTAATTGTAAGGCATGCTTCTGCATGCAAACAAGTGTCATTTAATTAGGAGCAGTTGATGGGAATTAATACAAGGAGTTCCTAACGCAAATATTTACCAACAATACAAGCAAAATATTTCTCAAGAAAAATATGAATACAAAATCTTTGACAAGGCCCTCTGATGGGTGAAATTATTTTGGCCGGACAAGGGACCGTAATGCGCCACGTCACCCATTTGTTGTGTACCGCGGATGTGTACCGGATGATGTGGCACATTCTGATTCGACTCCGAACGGTCTGGTGTCCGCACAAAATAATTTTAATGGACTACAGATTAAAAAGGATCAATTCCCAAGTTTTCTATCATACAGAAGAGTACAACCAAATGTAAAAGGTGATATGAAAATGTTGAAGAAGGTATTATTCACTGCATTGTAATGGCACTAAAGCCTTCTGGATGTAAGTAATTGATTAAGATCCTCATAATATTTACAGGATAAAATGCAGTAGACATACTTGATTGTGATTATGCGACTTTGCTACTCATCAGATGCTGGAGCCCTACGGTAAATTATAGTTTGTTCAGAGCCCGTTGGATCAGCATTGTATTGTCCATAAACAGCATAAATAACAATTGAGATGATACTTAGAACAACGAATCTGATCCATGCTTCTTCATGCAGCTGCAGTCACAAATGATATTGCTTCTTATTAGACAAATCAAATATAAGATCTGTGCATTAAAAGAGCCAGAAAATCCTAACACCCATTATGATTATAACTTGCATTGTTCAGGAAAAAACTGAAGAGCCAAATCGAACCAATCTTCTCTGGATTGTTTAGGGTTTAAATGTTTAAGGATCGGTTCAGTTATTGATTATAATTTTGACCTTCTTTAATTTTTAAGAAATTTAAATACATACCACTTTATAACATTCTATTTATATATCTAATATCCAAAACTTTAATATTAGATGCATATCGTCCTATATTATTTTAAAATCAAATATACCACTTATATTTCTTTCCTACCACTCATATATTTAATTTCTACCACTTATATTTGATATGAAAATGAACTATAGGTAGTTTGTATGTAATATTAAAATTTCAGATGTTAAATATGTAAATAGAATAGTATAAGATGGTATGTATGTAAATCTCCCTTGATTTTTTTGCTATTGATAAGCTAGCTGTGGAAACTTCAAACAAAATTAAATAGTTATAATAAATCGGGGATGTAAAAATTAACTAACGGAGGGAAGCTAATTATGGATGCTAACCTGTGCAAATAAGAAGATGTTGACAAAGATGCTGACAATTGGGAGGAGAGGCACTCCAGGACAAGCAAAACCAGGTGGATTCTCATAAATCTGACAATTGGAAGAACAAATAAGAAATTAAAATCAACCAACGGTCTTGCATGTACATGATTTCAAATTTCAGTAAACATGGTATTACAAAATTAACAAAACATTAAAAATAAACGTTTTAAAAACTACATCTGAAACAAGTCACTGCACTTCCGTCAGACTTTCCCAACAGAACGATGAAAAAACAATTTAAGACATTCCATTGATTCACGTAATGGCCTGTCGGTCGATCACAAATGAATCATTCTTATGGTCTCTCTCCGCCCCCCCGCACCGAAACTGACCCACGGCACAACGCCCATTAACTTCACACACGGGAAGGCAACGAAGTTCAGTTCAAGAGACCGCAGCGGAGCGGAGGAGCCGTGACACGAAGTTCCTGACCCTTCACAATTTTCATAATCTTGCCAAACTTTAGCAGAAATAAGAATAGAGGAGATTTTAATTATGTTTGGATCTAACCTTAGTGTCTATATATGTCAAGTAAGAACAAACATCATAATGATGAAATTCATGATGAAATTGCTGGAGAGATAGGTTCATAAGGGAAAAAGAAAAGTGTAAAGCTACTTAATTTAAAGGTTAATCAAAGGAATATTACAAGATTTTTTTCACTAAACTATAAGCAAGCTTGTAGAATAGGCAAATCAACAAATCTAGGTCAATATTTAAAAAAGGCATACTCAATGCATCACTATTGAAAAGCAAAAAAGTCAACTACCAGAATTAAAAAAATCTTTAAGAAAATGTTGACTAAATCAAATAAAAGCCACAACCTTATCAACCCATGACATTAGAAGATTTCCAATTTGACCAGATTCTAAGACCAAATGAAGATTATTGCAGAACTCACCCTTGGATTAGATCCGTCATGTTTGAAATCATATATTTGGAATTACAAAACTAAGGGTTTCTCCTTAAAAGGTGTTACACTCACACGACATCGAAATTAAGATTCTCTCAAAATTGGGATCGCAAAATTCTCGAGATGTGTATACTTTTTTTGTGGGATGCCACCTTTGATTAAGGTTTCTCAAACCAAGATCGGAGTCTTCCATGATATATAGTTTAGAATTTCATGTTATCTTGAAACTCTCTTTTGTACCTGACTAGCATACTATTTCAGCAGCTAGGATTTCAATGGAGAATCGGAGATTTTCATTGAGGCAGTATGAAGAAAGCTTGATGAGATTATTATTGTGTGTGAGGATAATTGTATGGCTTCTTTATTGTTTGTTTGTGGGAGCACTTAGAAATTAGGAAAGGATTGATAAGTACTATTATTTAATATACTATGTTTGAGCTGTCTGCTTTTTCTAGTGGATCGAATTTTCACACTTTTCCAGTAAGAGTAGTCTTGATTTAAGCTGAATTACATAAAACTTGGTAGTTTCTCTCTTTTTATTTATGTTGTTACAAATAGTTCTGAAAAGGTTGGAGTAGCTGTAGTGGCAAACTAGATTAGAGAGAGTTGTCTCGGCCTTCCGATGACCGAGTTAGGAGAGTAGATGTATTAGATTTGGCCTATGTTAAGAAAGGTAGAGGTAGGCCTAAAAAGACTTGGTTAGAAAGTATTAAAAATGACTTCTTTTTTATTAGATTTAAATTAGAATTTAATTCTAAATAAGACAATGAAGAAAAAAGATTCATGTAGCCGATCCCACATTGTGAGATAAATGCTTGATGTTTTTGTTGTTGTACATAGTTCTCTATTATAATAATGCTTCCAATTTGAGTTATTTAGTTCCCTCATCACAACAAATCTATTTTCATTCATTTATGATTTTAAAAACACTACTGTTGTCAGGTCTCAAGTATAGGATGAGAAAAGTTGAAGGTTGTGTTAGGTAGTCGATAACAGACATAAAATTTGTTGGATAATCATGATATGAAACTTTTAATTTATTGTGTTAATACTAGGGCATTCCTTAGAAGATACATGTTGTATAGCCTGGATACAACGAGAAGTGTACAAGGGATCCCACATCATGGATAAATAGGGGCAAAGAAGCTAAGTCAATGAAGAAAAAATTAAGATAAAACTTGAAAATATAGGTTTTATTACCGGCAAATTAATGAAATTAATATATACTTTGATTCATAGGAAGATATTCTATGCATTCAGGAAATTAAATGGGTTGAAGAAAAGGCTAAGAAGATTGATAGTTTAGGATTTAAACTATAATATTCGGGTAGAAGTCATACTAAAAATGATGTAGGTGTTATTATAAATAAGAGTTTGAAATATAATATTATAGAATTAATAGAATTGAAGCAAAAATAATAGCTTTAAAGAATGTTATTGATGCTAAAACTATTTGTATTATAAGCATTAATGCTCCTCAAATCGGTTTAGATATATTTTCAAAATTAAAATTTTGGAATGACTTAAAAAAATTAATGTAAAAGATACCTCTTGATGAAAGAGTTTTATTGGAGAATATTTAATTGTACATGTTGGTAGTGTGATAAAAATTTTTAAAAGCATTCATGGAGACTATTGGATTTGGAGTGACTAATAAAGTTGGTAAGATCATATTAGATTTTGTAATTGTTAATATCTTATTTGAAAAAAGAGTATCTCATCACTTATAAGAATATATAGAACAAAACTCTTATTGATTATTTTCTTATAAGAAAAGTAGATAGTTTAGATTGCAAGTATTGCAAAGTTCTTCCGATTGAAAGTTTATGTAAGTAACATCGTTTATTAGTTTTAGACTTTAAGATGAAGCGGCATAATATGGAAACTAAAATAAAATATTGTCTAAGGATTATATAGGAGTAGTTAAAGAACATTAACAAAAATATTTAAGAATAAGATTTAAGATTTTGACTGAGCGTGAGAAAATTAATGTTATGTGGAAAAAATAACAAGTGATATTAAGATTGTTGCAAACGATGTGCTTGAAGTATTAAAAGAAAAAAAAACTCATAATAATAAAAATTATTGGTGATAGAATCAAAATGTGCAAGAAAATATCAAAATAAGAAATTTTGTTATAAAAATTGATTTAAATGCAAAAACCCAAAAATTTGGGAAAGATATAAAGTAGCTCGTAAGAAGTCTAAGAAAATAATATGCGATGCAAATAATTTAAGTTTTAATAATTTATATAATAGATTAAATATAAATGAGGGTGAAAGATGCATGTATAAGTTAAGCTAATAGGATAAGTAGGAAGTTAGTTCAAGTGAAGTGTATTAAGAATGAAAATAAAAAAGCGCTCTTATTTGGATAGGATATTCAACAAAGGTGAATGAGATATTTTGATAAGCTTTTTAATGAAGATTTTGAGAATACAATTAACTTTAGTAACCTTATCACCCCAAAGGAAAATAGAGATGTTTGCTTTTATTGTCATAATAGTAAAATGAAAGTTAGAAATACTTTAAAGAAAATTAAGTGTGAAAAAGCTGTTGAACCTGATGATATTCCAATAAAGGTATGGAAATGCTTAGGAGAAAAAGAAATTTCATGGCTTGCGAAAATTTTTAATATTATTTTGAAGACTAAATGATGTTAGATGAGTGGAGGAGTGCATTGATTCCTATTTTTAAGAATAAAGGTGATGCACAAGAGTATGCGAATTATAGAGGAATTAAGTTAATGTGTCATACATTAAAACTACTGGAGAGAGTTATTGAGCATAGGTTATGATGTGACACTAATGTTTTTCAAAATCAATTTGGATTCATGACAGGGCGGTCTACTATGGAGGCTATCCATTTATTGGGAGATTTGAGAGATTTGATGGAGAAGTATAGAGAGAATAAGGAGGATCTAGATATGATATTTATTGATTAAGAGAAAGCATATGATAAAGTTCCAAGAGAAGTGCTTTGGAGAGTTCTAGAAAAGAAAGAAATTAATAATGCTTATATTCAAGCCATTAAGGATATGTATGCAGGAGCTGTTGTGTTCAAACACAAGATGGTTTGATGAAGTATTTTCCTATTTCAATTGGATTACATCAAGGATAAGCTTTAAGTCCATATCTTTTTGCTTTAATCATGGATGTTCTTACTATACCATTTACAAGAGGATGTACCTTGGTGTTTTTTTTTTTTTTTTTTTTGATGAGACTAGAGAGGGAGTAGAAGGAAAACTTGAATTGTGGAGGTCAACCTTAGAGTCTAAAGGTTTTCGTTTAACCAGATTTAAAATCAAATATATGGAGTATAATTTTAGTAGTAATAGATCTAGTGAGGAATACACAAGGTGATTTGACACGATACTATGAATAGAAGATCAATTTCCTCCCTAGCAAATGCTCACACAATACATATACTGAATTGGAACATTCTTCCAAGAAGCGGCATTAGACTTCAATACGACAGCTCACTCACCAAGCCAAATTCTACCACGCTGCTATAACCAACTTGCTTGATTCATAGTAACAGGGGAGAACTGTTTACACATACAAGAGAGTACATGAAAGTAACAATTATCAGCTAAAGAAACGAAGATAGCATACTAAGGTAAAGTAGATGTCCTCCCAAGAGCAAACTCATGAAGAAAGGTATGCGTTCCATAACAACCAAATCTAAGGCTTTTCTTGGCATTATTATCTTGTTATGCTTTACTGAATGGTATTGTGTTATGTTCTGCTATTGAGGAAAGAAATGACAATTTGGCAATCATGATAAAATAGTTGCAGAAATTGTTGTAAAAATTGTAGTTGTTTGATAAAAACTATTGTGCATGAATATGAGTTAATTGAATGATAAAAAAGGATAATATTATGAATTTCATATAGTTATATCATAATATCCTAATCCTAAGTAGTATGTAATTAGTTAAAATAATTATTTTTTTAAGTATGCTAAAATTTTAAAATTCATAAAGCACTTTTCAAAAGCAACCTAAACTATTATTCTAAGAAAGGCTCAGCTTTCATACAAAACTTTTTCTCAACTTCGTTGGAAAAAACGCCCTAAAACTATTTCTATTATTCTAGGTGGCAAAAGCTAGCAACAGAAAACCTTGCCACATGAGCCAAAATAAGTTCTGCTCCAGCAAGTTGTATCACTCATATGTAGATATCAAAGGATGCAATCACCAATCAATTTTTCCCTAGAGAAAACAACCATTGATAGGTTAAAATGTGAAAAAAGTGAAAAGAAAATAACAAAATCACCAAATTCTTTGTTGAGTGCTCTCAAGATGATTCCATGTAAGCGCTCTTAGAGCTGAAAGTTAATGACAACCATTGCTTCCATAAAATCACTATTTACACATTCAAGAAAAAAAAAAGAAAAAACTTAAAGCCGGTCAAAATTAAACCATGAACATAATCAACAATTAACACATAGGCAAAGCATATAGAACTCACTTGCCGAACATGCAGAGCTACTCCCGCAAGAATTGCAATCAGTACAGCTATCAGCAATAAGACAATTGAAACATTAAAGCGGTAGAAAAGTCCAGCTGCAAACCCACAGAAACCAACAACCAAAAGACAAGTAACCCCTTCATGCCAAGGTGAAATATATCTTGAAGAGACTTGGCCTGAAGCCAAATCCTTCCAACGTAGCGTTATGACACAGGCTGAAACAACAGAATAACCAGTCTGCAAAACATACATTCAGAAATACAAAATAATGCATTTCCTAACTGCACTAAAGAAGCTTATCACTCAAATGCTTTTAAGAAAGAGTAAAAAACATACCAATATGCCTACTGAAAGAATGTGTGAGAGCGAGTGAACATTAAAAAGACCTCCCAAAATTCCCGCAACACAGCCAACCCATATCTGAGAATGAATAGGGGTGTGTCGCGTAGGATGTACTATGGCGAAAACTGAGGGAAGCAGACCATCCCGTCCAAGGCCAAGATACAAGCGGGACTGCTCATTTATTGTCAATTCATTATGTGATAGGTTTACCGCAGTAAGACTTCGTTTGGAACAACTTTTTTATGCTTCCTAAAGAAGCAGTAAGAAAGATGTCCCAAATGAAGCCTAAATCAAAAGATATAGTTTTGGAAGAATGCGGGAGAAATCACCTGCACGTATAAACCGACAAGGAGGGTTGTAGTAAGACCTGCAACAGCCCCAATGCTGATTAAAACGGAAACATATTGCATGCCTTTAGCATTGAAAGCTTGAGCCAGAGGAGCATCTTCATCAAGAAATTTATATGGAACCATCCCAGTTAAAACCAAGCAGACGCAAACATACAATAATGCACACAAAAGAAGGCTTCCTATGATACCAATGGGCAAGTCCCTCTGCAGCCAAGAAAAAATGAAAGAGAATGACTACAGCATTCAGAAAAAAACAAGGAATCTTCTGCTGAGGCAGTTTTAGAGAATAACAAAATTCAACTGTAATAGCGCTTACATTCTAGCCTAGCAGAAAAGCATTAAACTTTGCAGTGCAATTAAAAGTACCTGAGGTCTCTTAGATTCTTCAGCAGAATTAGCTACTGCATCAAATCCAACATATGCAAAGAAAACTACAGTAGCGCCAGTGACCACAGCTTTAAAGCCACTAGGAGCAAAAGGCGACCAGTTAGATACATCCACTTCAAAAGCACCAGAAAGAATGACTATTATAACAATGATCACCTACATCAGAAACAGCGAGCTCTACTCTATTAACTTTATTTTGGAGTGATTCCTTGACAAGTAACATGTAAATATTAACAAATGCTAAAAGGAATTTCCATGAAATACGTAAACAAAAGAGAGTAAATTATCAATAAGGCCGCAAAAGAAGCAAATCAATTGTAACACATTATAGTGAGATCAGGGTGTACAAATGGAAACCAAGCACGCCAATCTAGATGATTTAAACTTCAATAATACCATTGCAACGATCCATAAACAAAATTCTCAAGCAACCAACCATATGAAGGTAAGACATAATTTTGTTCAAACACAAGGTGGATTGACCAAGTATTTCCCTATTTCGGTTGGGTTACATCAAGGATCAGCCTTAAGCCCATATCTTTTTGCTTTAGTCGTGGATGTTCTCACTAGACATTTGCAAGAGGATGTACCTTGGTGTATGCTTTTTGCTGATGATATTCTTCTTGTTGATAAGACTAGAGAGGGAGTTGAAGGTAAACTTGAATTATGGAGGTCAACCTTAGAGTCTAAAGGTTTTCGCTTGAGTAGATCTAAAACGGAATATATGGAGTGTAATTTTAGTAGTAATAGACCTAGTGAGGGGATTGTGCTTTGGGCGATCAAGTCATTAATAAGAGTACACGTTTTAGATATCTTGGATCTATTGTTCAGAGTGATGGTGAAATAGATGGGGATATTATCAACAGAATTCAAGTTGGATGGTTGAAGTGGAGGAATGCATCGGGCTTGTTATGTGATAGAAATGTACCCCTCAAACTTAAGGGAAAATTCTATAAGATGGTAGTGAGGCCTGCAATGCTTTATGGTGCCGAATGTTGGCCATTAAAAGAGAAGCATAATACTAAGTTAAGTGTGGCAGAGATGAGGATGCTCAGGTGGATGAGTGGCTTTACCCTTAGAGATAGGATACGAAATGAGCATGTACGTGAAAAGGTTGGAGTAGCTCCAGTAGAAGATAAGATTAGATAGAGTCGCCTTAGATGGTTTGGTCACATAAAACGGCGGCCTTCCGATGACCCGGTTAGGAGAGTAGAGGTATTAGATTTGACTTATGTTAAGAAAGGTAGGGGTAGACCTAAAAAGACTTGGTTAGAAAATATTAGGAATGACCTTTCTTTATTAGATTTAAACGAGAATTTGACTTTTAATAGGACACAATGGAGAAAAAGGATTCATGTAGCCGACCCCACGTAGTGGGATAAAGGCTTGATGTTGTTGTTGTTGTTGTTGGAAGTTCACCTGAAAATATATAGATATTAACGAAGCCAAATATTAGAGGGATCTAAATCTATTCTAGGCAGATGCTGAAGAGTTACAAGTTAATAATTAAGAAGCATTTTAAATTATTTGCTATTTTTCAGCTTTTAATCGACTTAATGTAATGAGTCATAGGTTCCTTCCATAGAAGGAGACGCTTGACCTAGTTCATCAATGAATGATGAATTAAATATTGAGTTTTCTTCTAAAAGCCCATTCAGTTGCTACTTTCCCTCCTCCTTCCTCAAAAATACAAAAAAAGGAAGAAAAATGAAAAGTGAGACAAAAAAAAAGGGAAAATGAAAGGAGAATGTAATTTGTGCATTTTTGTACATTTTCCGTCGCCTTCGTCATCACGTCATGCAGGTATAACCCCTTGAACTCAACATCTCCCCAAAGTCCCCTTTTTTTGCGCTTGTAGAGCGACGATCAACCACCCATGCACGTTTTCCTTAGCACGACGAAGCAAAATGTAAGTACCCGTACGTGACTCAGTGCTGACGGAAAAACAACTACGTTTTCAAATGTACCCCTCAATACCTATGCCCGCCTTTCTTGGTGTGGCAGGATTGAAGACTACGGCCGTGGTGTCACCCGACACTGACCGTGCACGTCTTTCTTGATGTGGCGGGCAGGCTAAGACTCTTGTAGTTTCCCCTAAATGGGGAAGACGCCGGAAGGCTACGAATATTCGGTCTGAAGACATATAAGAACTTGAACAAAAACAAGGGACTTGAGTTGGACCATAGGGAACTTGCACATTGAACAATGACGAATTGAACTCAAATAATTTGAACTTAAACTTGAATGAGATAACAATGCCCAAACTCGAATTTGAACATGATGAATAATCAATAGGAACTTGATTTGAATAATAACACAAAATTTCCAATGGAATATTAAGGAATTATAACTTCAATTGGCATGCAAATGTTGATAAGCAAATTCATCACTTAAGTCATCTTCATATGACAACAGAAGACTTGTAAAATTCAACATGGCTCATCTAAGTAGAAATCAAATTACCTATGATAAGTAAATTTTCAAGAGCCACTTGCTTGCAAGCAAACATAAATAGGTGATAATCGATTGAGGAGAACACACGATCTAAATACGAACGATTCATCTCAATCGTGGATGACATGCTGAGGGATGAGACATGAAGGATACACAGTGAATACGATGATTCCTTCACACAAACACGGCGTACTGTCTACAAATGAAGGAGAGGAATCTATAACAAATACAAGTACTAACAAGCAGCAATGGCAAATTTATTATGCATACAATGAATCGCCTATCGACAACGTGGGCAGAATAATAGAGGATGCAACGACTCTCATGTAGACAAAAATGAAAGGCAAGATGAGTGCAACATACGCCCTAATTTGTTCATGAACAAAATGTAGAAGATGCACAATGAATGCAACAATATCGTGCGGGTCATTTTAGGAGATGCTTCATTCACATGATAACCCATCTACAAGCAACAATAATGGATGTATCATCAATGTGATAGATCTTCTAGAGACACAAATATGCGATATATAATCTACAAGCAATATCAGTAGAGTCGCAATGAACACAAACACCTGCAATATTAGAATATTCATGATGTACATAATGCTCCATCCACGAATAACAATAGATGAATCATTAAATGCACCAAAATCCTACGAATGACAACAATGGGCATGCATTGATTGCAAATACACCCTCATACAATCAACACTAATCAAACATATAGCAAATTCATCAAACATCTGCAAGCGAGGAGAGGAAACACATGATGAATGCGATGAACTCCTACAATAACTTCCATATAGTTAAATGCACTAGCTTGTCGACGAACAAAACACTGCTTGCAAACACATGCAAGCATCATGCAACAAACACAATAGTGTTCCTAAGACAAATGTCAATTAAGTCTGCAAAGAAACAAACAATTGAGCTTAAAGTGCAATGAATGCAGCGTCGACACCCATATTTTCGCAAATGACGACAACCAATATACAATAGATACAAAAGGCAGGTGATGAATGTGATCACACCTCGCAGTCAACGTCAAAGTATAAGTAAATGTACTCAGTCCCACAAGTAACGAGACATGGAGGGAATAGCCAGGGATGAAACAGGAAGGTATGCAACGAATTGCAATGCACGTTGCATATCATGTACAAGCATGGCATGAGGGATCTTCTACAAGTATGGAATTGAAAATTGTAGCGGATGCAAGCACTTACTGGCAATGATAGAAGATGCATCAGATGCACAGTAATAAATACATGTCGGTGGTGATCAATAAATTGTGGAGGTTATAACGCTCCTGTAATTAACCACTACTCAATGGAGGGTAACTACATCGACCCCCTTTGCAACCAAAAGCGAGCAACATGCAACAAATGCAAGCGCCTACGGGCCGCTGTAGAAGACGCGTCGTGCACTCAACATGTCACCTAAGGGCAAATACTGAAGGGATACTACAAACACAAGCTTCTACGAGCTGATGTAGAAGACCCGTTATACACACAATGTGTTGTCCACAATAAAAATGCAAAATGACTACATCAAATGCAAATGAAAATGTATACGAGTTGCTATAGAAAGATTGTTGTGCGTACAACAGACTGTCTGTGAGAGAATACAAAAGAACTGTAATAAATACAAGCGCCTACAAACAATAGCAAGAAACATGTTACTGCACAATAATCTACCCATAGAAAATAACAAGTAGTCTGCGATAGTCCACCTATATGAAACGGGCAAATGACCATAGTGTGAAGCCACGCCATCGGATTGCAACATGTATACAAGCAGACAGAAGGCGTGTACAAGCTCTTAAATGAAATGCTGCGCACTCAAACGACAGTTGCCCACCAGCTAAAATATTTCAAGATGCCCCACACCTACACTACAATATATATACACCCAGACACAAAAGTGCACATGAAATCATATACCCACATGGGCCCCAACGAGCGTATTGTATTTACACACATGGCGTCTGAGGATGTTGCATGGGTCAAGAAATGAACTTAAGTTCAAGTTCGATCCTTCTCCTTAGTAGGATAGGAGTCGACACAACTTGAACCAATGAACAAATATACAGTTGTGGTACGACCAAGATATTTTTTTATACGTTCATATTAGACCTTCAAGGTCTAAAACAAAAAAAATCTGCTAGTAAAGGCACAAGGCTGGCAACAAACTTGTTCCTATATTAGCAATTAGACAGAGTCGATAAGGTTCAACAGATAATTACAAAAATACTCTCTAAATGCCCGCATGGGCCCCGACGAGCGTGCTATATTTGCACATGTGATAACTGAAGATGTTGTGCGGGTCAAGAAATAAACTTAAGTTCAAGTCCGATCCTTCTCCTTGGTAGGAAGGGAGTCGACACGACTTGAACCAACGAAAAAATATACGGTTGCAACATCGAGTATGATATTTAGTTTTATAAATTCATATTAGGCCTTCAAGGTCGATAATTAGAAAATTTTATTAAATAAAAGCATACAACCGACAATGGCTCCGATCCTTTGTCGATAGGTAGACATAGTCGACAAGGTTCAATCCACAAATAAAATTCCCCATAAATACTCCAATAATGGCTGTATTGAACGTATATCTCAACCGGAGGGATTAATTCCAAATATTTCAAATGCCTCCAATGCCCAAAAAATTTTCAAAACTCTAAAAAATATCGAACCTTGAAA